TTCTTGCTGTTTCCACCTAGTCTAAATCTGTACTACCTTGCACAGAGGAATTTCTTGAAAATTACTTGGATCAACAGAAGCCTGAAGAAGGCCAGAGGGCACAAAGACCAAAATGTGATAAGACATTACTCTGCATCCAAATAACTTCTTATCATAGAAATTCAGATAGGAAATATTGATTACTTCTTTTTGACCTACAAAGGTGGCACTTTTCAAAACACATTAAAATGATTCCTTAACAATTGTTTCCAAAGAATTAAAGCTTGATTCTATGATGTTACTTTCAAATATATATTGATAACTTTGTTACCTGGTGGCAAGTGAACAATGACAAAGATAGTCATTAACATTGGAATAAAAAAAAAAAAAAAATTTGTCTATCAGTCACCAATGTTGAGAAAGTCTTCCCACCTAGTAAAGCATTAATATGCTTATCTGCAAGTTAGCCACTTCAAGCATGAATAAGCACTCCAGAAATTCTTAAGACAAGTTGAGATGCAACAGGTAAAGAACTTAATGTTCATTTTGAGAGAGAGGGGGAAAAAAAAAAAAAACTTAGCATCATTTTGTGTTTTGTCCACTTCAGAGTCACTAGTGAAGAAGGCTAATCAACAAAAGCAGAACATAATAGCAAAATATATAAAAATCAGGCTTTCAGTGTTGTGTAGTTTCAAATGTGAGTGCATAACACTTAAATGTAGGTAAAAGCATATAACAAATGGCTGGCAATTTAACACACAAATACTTGAAGAGATTCTTTGGAGCCTTTTTTCTCTTTCTGGTTGAAGGATTCAAAGAAAAGTTAACTATGTTTTGAACTTTAAAAATCATCAGTAAAGGAAATTTTAAATGGTCTAAATTCTTGTAAAAAAAAAAAAAAAACTCTTTGGAGCACATTCTCTTGCAACTATAAAACATTTACAAGCAAAATCTGATACAATTTTCTATATTTATATAAAGAGTTCTTGTGGCTTAGTTGGTATGGAAGAAAAAAAAAAGTATTATCCACATGGAAAATCAACTTGTGTTTGAAATACATCAAAAAGGTGTTTATTTAAAGATTCAAAGACGTGACTGTCCATACACTGATTCAAATTTTGTGAGAAATAAATTGTCATGGAACCCATTGTGGAAGAAAAAAAAAAAAAAAAAAAACATCCTCAGGATGTTATTTCTTTTTTTTTTTTAAATCTCTAAACAGTTTAGTTCTTAAGAGGCATAAAACCTATTTACCTAACAAAAGGAGAAAAAAATTCTAAGATGGATTGAAAAAAACTGAATTCAATGTAGCGGGGAGGGAACCTTGTTGAAAAATGCTTTACCTTGTGAATAAGTTTGCTTACAATATTATTCAACCAGCTTTTTGGACAAAAGCCATGGAATGGGCATCTTGTCAAATGGTAATATTTCATCTTTCATATCTAATGCTGTTATCTTTACAGTAATATAGTTTTCACAGATTAAAACTAAATATCTCTTATTCCATTTACAATAAGAAAAAAAGTTTGCTTGTTCTTAAGTTGATAGCAGCAAAATTATTTCAAATCTGAACAATGGACATGCTATCTTGTATAAAGTCAGATACCTAAATAGCAATTTATGCTATGTGGTTGCAGATTTTACAGGTACTGAACTGTTTTGAAAGAAAAGAAAGTGGTGTGGTGAGGGTATTTTACTTTGTTCTAAAATTTTATTTTTCTTCTTTGGTAAAGGTGATGACTTGCCATTTACACTAAAGTTTCAAATTCCTGCAATTGTCAGCAGACATTTTATTAACTTGATACCCAAAGATTTACATACGGAGAATGGTTCAGTTCAGCAACAGATTTATACAAATTCATTTCATGGATTAAATTGAAGTTGCTTTTACATTTTTATAGAATTTTAATATTTGGCCATCAATGTTTTGTAATCCAAAAAAAAAAAAATTTTAATTAGTTTTCACAAGATTCTCTCATACCTAAAACCTTTCAACAGATTTTTGCTTACCAGAACACACAGCTGTCTATACAAAGGCACTAATGACTACAGATGAAGTATTTAAAGTTTTAAAATAAAGATTGAAATGCTGGTTAGATGAAGAGGAGAATCGCTGTTTTATTTTGTAGAAAATCTCTTGATTTAACACCAGGACCACCCATTCTATGTAAAGTCTAATCCTTGTAAAATCTAAGATATTCGCTGTAGTTAGTTCTTAAAATTAGTTTTCATTCATGTTCTTCTATATCTTTTACTAAGGAAAAACATTATCCCAAAAGAAAACCATAATAACAGTTACTGAAACATTCTCAGAACAATCAACTTGAAAAATCTTAGAGAAGTGAAGGACTTCATCTACCCAAGCTGGGGTCATATCTTATAATGTCTGTTGCCTCTCTCTGTAGTTTGACAAGACAAGCTTAATAATCAAATTTTTGGTAGACTAGATTTTGGCTGGCGCAAAAAAAAAAGAAAAAAAAAAGGCTCATGAAAATGTCAAAAATCAACAAAGACATTGTGCTGCCAAATCTTTAGTCATTTTACAAGAGCCCACAACCTGCCTTCCATTCATAATGTGTACTGAAACAATTTTGTCACTAATGCTAAGGTTTTTAAGTCAATCAGACCTAAAAGCATTGAAGTTAGGCTACAGATGACTTAACTCCATCAAGCAGACAAGGATGATTGTGTTTGGAGTCTCTGGCTGATAGAAGTGAGGCTCCACTGAAGAGATGCAAAAACACCTTGAAAAGGACCCTCATCTGTGAATTCAATCATTGTCTGCAGGTCAGGAAACAGAAATATCTGACACAAAGACATGGGATCCATCAGGGTCACCTCACCTAATTGAGCCATAGAAAAATAGCTGTTTCTTGCATCTGTAGAAAGAAATGCCATTCCAATTTTGGCTCATCCAAGAGTCTGCAACAAATGTGGAACACCCTCCTTATTTTTGTTCTCAGTGAAGCCATGATTGTTATTGGTTAAACATTGATCTTTCATTGATCTTCTTTACCTTCAGTCATATTGCAACAATAGTTAAATGTGTGAAAATACACACATGCCTGAGAACTTTCAGATTTTTCTGATTTGAAATACATAAAGAGTCAATATAACAAATACCAATTTCAAATATAAAATCAATCATTTATTTTTTTAAAGGAAGAAAAAAAGAATGAGAAACTTAGGCAATGGCCATCGAGAGTCAGGAAATATTAACTGCCGTAAATCATTTTTGAACCTTAATTGGTTAATTAAAAACTAATTTCTTATTCAAACAAACTAGTGATGGCAAATAACTTTTTGTTAAATTCAAAAAGTTTAATTAGTACATCCAGTGATGTCAATTAAAAATGCTTTTAACTTTAATCAAGTTCTAAAATCAAACTTCAAACTTATTATAAACATACACACAGTTGATTTGAAAATAATGCCTTCTATTCTATCATGTTAACCAATGGACATGAAGGTCCAATTTAAAAAAGATTTTTTTTTTTTTGGCCTTATGGCAAAATTGTGTCTGACATGAAAAGCCTTTAAAAAGCAGAAATGTATCAGAGTTCCTTCATGCACAAAAAATACCCACCCTTTACATTCCTTGCCTGCTGAAAGTTTATCTAGACAAAAAGTGGATGTGAGTACATGTACATGCGGGGTAATGCATTTCAAGACTGGCCACAGTAGTGTATAAAAAGGGCCATATATATATATATATATATATATATATGCATACATACACGCACATGAAAAATGAAGGTTCTTGTTTATAACTGGCAAAAATACAGTTAATGATGGTGACTGTTTTGCAGTTGAAAACTTGCTCTATTCAACAGTGTTACTGTGTGTTGAATATCTTGTGGAATTAAACAGGAAGCATTACTTTTGGAGCGGCCCTATATACAAACAGAGGTGTTCAAACATTCAGTGTGACCCACAAGAAATAAAGGAAAAAAATCTGATATTTGCTCAGATTTTGGTAAGTGGACTGGACTAAGAATTTTTCAGCACTTGTGAGCACGCACGCACACACAAACACACACACAGGGTAACCTGAAATTTAAAAATGGATGTTAGACTTTAGAACTTAAGTTCTGTAACACATGGAACAATTTAGTAAAAATTAACTTAAAAGTTAAGCTCTTAAAATTTCTCTTATAATAATTTCATTGTATGTCAATCTTTTTATTTATTTATTAGACATTTCAATATTATTTGCTTTGCCTGATTTATTGGATTTTGTAGATGGACATCAAAAGTCTTGTCCATTCATAAAAAGCCTTATTCTTTGTGAAGAATTCAAAGTCAAAAGAACAAAATGCAATTTGAGCAATTAATAATGAAACCAGTGCATCAAATCATGCAATGTATTCATCAAATTCAAGAAGTGATGGTAGCCATGTTAAAATGGGAGAATTTAAAACTGTTAAAAAATCTTGAAAATTTTAACATTCATTTTTACAAAATTGTGCCACTTGAGTTATTAAAATTTGAAACTGACAATTTGGTGTGTGTGTATGTATGTGTATATAAAGTGACAGGTTACACAAGATAAATTAAATGATGTCTCCTTAACTAGCATCTTATATAATGTAACAACAACATTTTTGGAAAAAACTAATGAAATGATGTTTATTTATGAGAAAACCCATATTTTTTTAAAGACATTTTGGTAATTTATTCAAGTGCATTTGTTTTTGTTTTGCTTACTTCAAACTGTTGAGTGTACATCCACATGGAACTAAGGTAAAGTGAGAATGTGCTGATGATTTCATCCACTCCTTTGCCTCGTGTGCCCCCCCCCACATAATAGGCACCATTGAAACCAATGTACTAAACTGACCTCCCAAAATGCTTTTATGGGAAACTGTGATGAGGCAATGGTGGGTCTATTATGATCAGAATCCATAAAAAGAAAGGAAAAAAATGGCTGTGGATTCGTAGACAAAGTCACAGGGTTGCTAAATTCTCTGTATACTCGGCCGGAAATCCTTTTGTTTCAAAATTTTTTTTGTTGCGGGTGTTTACGGGCATTTTCTCTCCACACATCCCTTGCCTCCTTCCTCATACTCCTGCTTAGAAATCCACATCTGTTGAAAGGAGCCCTGAAAGTGAAACAAATTTGAAAGAAAAGAAATTAATAAGAAATACATTTAAATATGAATAAATAAAAACAACTCTTGGAACAAAATAGATTTCAAGTACTGAGGTACACATATTGAAACTGTCAAGTTGTTAGTCATGATGAAGGATGTTACAGAAAACACTAAAACTAAATATGATGAATCCTAAGAATATTTGGTATTTAGCTAAAAAAAACTTTTTTTTTTTTTTTCATAATTTCATCCCAAGCAAGATTATAATGCCAATAGTCTGCAGGGGGTTACTGAGAGTAAAAGTGCAAGAGAATGAGAAGACTGACAATGGGAATGATTGAGGAAAGAACAAAAAAGGAACAGGGTTCAAGTAGACAGAAAATGGCAATTGACATTGCATTTAAATTTTTGAAAACTGTGGTTATCAGGTAAGCAAGAAATCAGAAGGGAGTTCCACAGGCAGAAAGTGTGAGAAAAGAAACAGTTGGAGTAGAAATGATGGTTGCCTTTAGTGATTTCAACAGTCTGTAATCTCAATGCCAATTGGGGTGTGATTGGTTGAAGTTACTTGAACAGTTTTAAGTCAGTGTTTCATATGTTAGTTTTTCAAATGATGATTATTTCATATTTCCATGCAAAGTAAAATGCATTGTACATGAAAAATAAATAAAAATCTGAATGTGCTTAAATATTTTCAGCCCAAGAAACATTTCCCCAAAAAATTGAGGTCAGATTTGGGGAAGTGGATTGAGAGAGAAACTTATGCCCTTGTATATTTGTTACATAAAATTAGTGGATAGCATTATACAAGAGATTGATTGTACATAAAATAGGCATAGCTATCTATTCATATTATAGAATCTGAATGAATAAAAATGTATATAGAAAGAGGAGAACAAATTTTAATAAAAAAAAAACATCTTGAAAGTCTAACTTAAAAAAATATAATGATTTCTATTTACGATACAATTTCTGAAAGTAAATAATCTTAGAGACATTATACATAGAGAACCATAAAATAAAAGACCTTTTGGCAAATGTGTACATGACATACATACATACATACAATGTCTGCTTCAGACAAACCAGAAGCTGAATGTGTAATGAAGAGGACAAACAGATTAAGGTACACAAGTGGTTAAAAGTTCAACATATGCAATCTGAGAAAAAGAGAAATTATTTACAGACAAAATGAATTATTTCAAAATGAAAAGAATTTCTTTTTCTTTCATACTCCCTACTTCTATGATAGCTAATTTAATTTTCCCATTCTATTGATTGACAAAACCTCTGGCATAAAAATTACTTTGGGTAGCTATGGCAACAAAATCTTACTATTAGTTCAATAACGTTAAGGATTGTGCAAGAGTTAATCTTGTTAAATTGATAGAATGACAAGAAATTGGGAATTGGGTTCTACAAGTGATTGATGTCCCTCAAGGAAGGAAAAAAATCTCTACAAAGCTGATACCATTTTTGAGGCTTTTAAAATGATTTATCAACCCCAAAATGACAGTTGAAAAAAAAGGCATCCAATTTTTTAAAACATTCTCTTCAATAAGTTTATGATTCATCGAAGATTGTAAAGTTTTCAAGATAAAAAACAAAACTAGGTTGATACAAATCTGAGTAACCCTGATAAATATTTTAAGTTGTCACAAACCAAAAATTGTTGTCATATGCAGAGGAAAGAAAAATGAAAAAGACCAATAATTAGAAATAAGGTCTGGTCATATAAAACTTTTCTTCAATATAAAGTAAGCAAATCTTGAATACTATGACTTTTCTGGCTAGTCTCTATGTTAAATGATAATGCCAAAAGATATACAGTTTATTGTTTTGAGAAAAGTCAATATTATTGCAAGAGTTGTTTAGATTATTGAATTCTTTGTTTTTGTTGTTGCCACTCAGCTTCTGTCTATTTTGCAGCCTTATTCAGGTGTAAAATCCATAAAGAAAGGCAAGAAGCATTTTCTTTCAGAAATTGTTTCAATTGTCTTAATTCTTGGAAGGAAGTTAAGAGTTAAACATTTTGTGGATTATTTTATATGCACGTCTCCAAACACATGGAAAATAGGAGCAATATGTGCATCATGTGAATAATCCTGTATTGTTTAAAGAAATTTCATGAATCAACTCCAGAGCAACAACTATATTCCGATATTTTTGACTTTAGATGAAATTCAGAATTAGTGCAGTTTATAGATTACCAAATAAATCCTCAAGTTTGACTGGTTTTCATGATTCAAGAAACTGACAGCTGAAATGTTTGATTATTAGTAACACTTTAAAAAAAGAGAAAAAGAAAAACCATTATATTAAAAAGTAATTATGAACTGTGGAATTCTATCTTCCTTTTTTGTCAAAGGAAAATGAAAACCAATATACAAATTTGATGGAATTGCTTTCTATAAGAGTAACAAATAGCTCTATTCTAAAATTTTAACTATTTTCCCACTTTTAACATTTTGAATTTTGGGACAAATTCACAAGCCAAACAAATATTTTTGTAAATTGGTATGTTTTATAAATTTGTAAAAATCTTATCAGAGTTGAACTTTTTCAACAATAAATTTAAAGCTCACTCTCAAGATTTCAAAAGCTTTTGATTTTCAACAATCAAAACAACACTGTTGAAGTTCATTTCGTGTTCCAAAAGAAAAAAATATATTGCTAAAGAAATTCATAAATTTGTTTCCAATTTACTTAAAATTTTTAAAATGCCTCACATTTTTGCATGAACAAATATGAAACCAGGCAAGTATTTTTTCAACATGAGAAAAGTGTGAAAATTTATATAATAGAATGAAAATGAACAATTAATGAGAGAGAGAGAGAGAGAGATGGGTGTGTTGTGATTACATACCAGAGAAGCAAGGATGGAACCACCAATCCAGCTACTAAATCGTCTCTCAGCTGTACCTGTTGCTGCAATGATCTTCAATCTCATACTCTGTAGAGAAAAATAATAAAAAAGGAAAAAAGTTTAGCAAATAAGAGACTGTTAATTTTCTCTCTCAATTTCTACTGCAAAGACAATGGCACGAACAATAAGTGTGTGTGTGTGTGTAGGAGACCAGTCTTGAATGCTGAGTCTCAAGGTAGGAAGACTCTCCCTTGCTGAAAGAATAGAGCTACACAATCTATTTTTATTTCTCCCTCTGTCCTTGCTCTTATGAACAAAAAAATAAGGAGAGAGGGTGGAGGTAGAAAAAGGAAAACTATTTTACAGTCGAACATTTATGTTGAACATTTCTTGCCAGCACCAGAGTTAAACGCTAAGATTTCAAATACTGATTTTCAATGCAAGCAAATATTCCTTACTTGGAAGATTGACACAACATAATCTTCCTCACCTCCTCTGCACACATTGCTATAGAAAATAGTATTGTAAATATGAAGACCACAACTGAGGAATTAAATCAATTTTTCATATTTTTGTTAACCAAGATTTCAGTAGAGAAGGAAGTAGCAAGTGAGTGTCTCTAGAAGAGTAGAATTCTTCAATGTGTCTTCGGAATATGTCAGTGGAAAACATTTGTGTGATTCTCTACAATGGTATACTGCATCAATAATTGCCACACCAATACACACCATCTTTGGACAACACATCAATAAACAGGAAAGTTGAAAGAGGAAAAAAAAAATCTGGTACAATGTCACTTGAGACTACACACCTTTGTACCCAAAGAACATTCACATTTAGACAATATCCTTTAAAGGAATGTATTAGAAAACATTATATCCTGATGTAATTTACAAGTGAAATGCTACTTGCACGGCACTGACAAAATGCACCATTCACTGATACACTCAGTGTAATGCATTGAATCTTTCAAACAATGTCAGAATAAATTGATTTGCATTTTCTTTTGACAAAAAAAGTAGATCAAATGACATCATAGCACAATATATCAGAAATAGTAAACCACTTCTAAGATATTGTTGACAATGTGTGACGCTATTGTAATGGATGCATTTGCAGCTAAAGAAAAGGCAAGGTGAATGATTCAGAAGAGCAAGGGAATTAACAATCAACAGAAAACTGGAAAATCACATGACAAATTCTAGATTAGCTTTTTTTTTTAAATTTCTTCTTTTGTTTTCTGCTTTCATTCAGCTTGGAATGTGTAGTCGCGCACACAAACACAAAGCAAGATTCCTGCCAGAAGAAATATCATTGTACTCAGTCAGTTGGCTGCACACATTTGGCGTTGGTTGTTGATTCTTTGCCATACACCATGAAAGCCAATATGATTCTTTGCACATCAGAAGACACAGAATCATCAAAGTAAAAAAAAAAAAATGGGGGTGGTGAACAGAGTCAGAATGAGATGAGAAAACACACTTGGTGGTAGCCCTTTGCTAATTCTGTTAAAGCAATGGACAGAACAATTGCATTGAGTGTTGTCTGTCATTTTCTTTTAAATAGCCATAGAGGGATAAAAAGTGAGGAATACACTACAAACATTACCACAGCTAAGCTTGTTTCATTATTCAGATAAACTAGAGAAAAAAAGAACTTCATAAATATTAGAAATGAGTGTGGATGGAATAAGGGGTTTGGTTCAAAATTTGGAGAAGATTACCGAATACAATAAATGATACTGGCTGGAGAGTACAACAGTCAAAATATTGAAAGTATAACAAACAAGATGAACATACTAGTGTAAATAGTATACGAGTGATAATAATAATATTAGTTCATCTAAAAAATTCTGATGCTATGTTTAAATGTACATTACTACACAAAAGAGAACTCCTATAAATAATAAAATGTTTCCTATCCTTTATGCTTTTCAAACCATTTACTATATTTTCCACTTTCTGGAAATAAAACATTTTATACAACATTTATTCTTTCAAGTAATTCAGTATACGAGATAGAGAAATTTTAATATTCAATCAATTCACATTTTAAAAAACGTTATGACAAAAACAATTCTTGCAATGTAGGTGGTTAGTGCAGCATTTGAATCGTTTGAATTAAAATGCATAAAAATTCAGATTTTTTTTATGGTTGCATTAATAGTCAGCTGTTGGATTAAAAACAACATCTAATGAATTAGCTTAGTCTGGTTAATATGTCATCACATCAATTGCAGTTCTTAACTGAAAAGGAACTCACAGAATTAATGATAATTATAATTAGTGGGCTATTGAAATATATTATCAAAATAAACATTTAAAATATTAAATCTAAACATAAAAATAAAATTAAAAGTATAAAAGAATCTACTGAATGTTTTACTGTTCTTCATCAAAATGTCAGGAATCAATTTCAAATTCAAAGAGAGAGAAATATGAATCAATGGAAGATGACACAAAATATTTTTTTTTAGATCTGGAGAGAAAAAAGCAAATATATGTAAATATTTTAAAAATATTAACAAACACTTACAGTAACTGTTTAAATTGTTTTTATTATTTAATTTCTAATAGAACATCACAAATTAATTTTTTTATAAAATCGTTTTTGAGTTTAGACCAAGTCAAAAATAAAGGCGAGTCAGTTAAGTTTGCCATATTTATTTTAAAAATGTGAAAAAAAAAAAAAAAAAAAAATTGCCATGAAAAATAAAGAAAGCTTATTATTTTTGTCTATTATTCACTTTTTCACATTCATTTTAATAAACTTTTACTGTATGAGTTTTTCCATTTTTTATTTTATTTTTTATGAATCAGAAATTGTATTATGTACTCTTAATTTATATTAAAAAAATGATCCAAAGTGAAAGATTGGGTGGAAAAAATTGTTTTGGTAAGGAAATAAAAAAAAAAAAAAAGTGAAATCCTGTCTTTATAGGTGAAGGTCAAACTAAAAGGGATGATTAATGAGACGTCAATTGATTTTACAAATTCTGGTTATTTTAGATCCAATGCTATCATAAAATTTGAGGATGCCAATTTTATTTTCTTAATATCCTTCAATGACCTAATAATGTGGGTTATAAAATTTTAGAAATGTCCATATATACCTGTGTATCATGCAACTTTTGAAGATCTAATTTTGAAGATAATTTTAAGGAGGGGGGACGCATCATACACGAGATATCAAATTAGCGTATCTACTGCTGGCCCTGCCTACACCAGTGACCAAACTATATATCAATTTACTGTAGTCAAATTAGCTTAAAAATTAAGTCTTCAAGGGTTTCAACGATACGCGAGTATATACGGTACATGTAAAAATAAAAATAAAAAAATGGAGGATTTGAATTCTACATTACTTGGTCCTTATCTCATGAATTGCAACAGGAATTTCTACCATTTGCAGTTAAGCCAGAATACCTCAATGATGGAAACTCCTGTCATTCACAAGTAAAGGGTCACCATTTTTATTTCCTATAAAAAAAAACATACAAAGTCATGGGGTAGCAGTATGTAAAGGTAATGTTAGATGTCACCCTGATGTCACGGAAGTCCCCAGGCAACTATCAGTTGTGTTCTGATATCTGGTAAGTTAGTGTGAACACCAAATAGCTTTCTCATAGCCAGGCAATGAGAATGATCAGAGTTTGAATTAAACATGATAGTGAATACATGATGGCTCAGACATTCTATTCTTGAAGCTGTGGGGATATTTGATATTATAAATCTGTGTTGTCACAGGTGCACCAATACCCGAAAAAGGCATTACTGTCCACAGTGGACAGTGAAAAATCACACATCAGCTCAGTGCTCTTTAACTTACCCCCAGGGTATGGGTGCTTCCGATAACACCACATCAAACACATTTTCTCTATTGTTGTGGATAACTTTAAAGTTCTTGGTATATTGGAATATATATGTATATTGGTATATAATAATGCTGGTCAAAAATACTGAACAAAGCATTATCTTTCTAAATTTGATCCAGATGTACATCAACCCATGCTCTGAATAGAAAAATATAATTAAAAATTGAATAGGCAGACCATGTCAGCTAAATTGAATAAAACATTGAAGCTTGAATGTATTTTTGTTTACATCATAGGAGACAGTCATTTTGATAGTCCTCTATGCTTGCAGTGCTTGGGGTAGAACAAAAATTGGAAGAATTGTTAAGAAGTTCAAATGGAATTTTTTTTTTTTTTTTTTTTATGTGATTACCTTCTATATGTGTATGAACTCTGAGAGGGAGAGAAGAATATTTTTATACATTTCAATACCACTGAATTCATTAATCCCTAATTTAGAGAATAGGTCATCCACTCGTTTTTTTTTTTAAATACTTTAAGTAGCAAGATGTTTACCATTTTGGCCAGTTAACTAAATATATTGACTTGTTTTTAACCAATTTTACAAGGAAGCAGAAACAAAAATTTCTCTTTTTAAATTAAATCTCATTTATTAATTCTACAATTAATTATAAGAATATGCAAAATTTTACTTTAAGATGAACAGGATATTGTTTTGGCACAAGGCCAAAAGTATAGGATACTCAGTGAGGATGGAACTCAATACTCAGTAGTAATAATCAATCAGACTATCTTGTTAATCATTACCTCACACGGAGGCGCCCCAAAATAGGAGATAATCAACTCGTTATTTGTATTTTATTTTTTGATTAAGAAATTATTCGGTTACCTCCCTTGAATTGTCAAGACTTAACAGCAGCATCACTGAAATGTTATTTGATAATGCTTTTAAAAATATTGTTGATGCACAACCAGAATGAAATATCAAATAAATTAACTTTGTAGACCGTCAACTCAGAACATTTTTCAAATTAAATAGCGCCAGGTTACAGAGGATGCGAAAATGGGTTTTCAAACACACCTTAAAATTAAAATTTACTGGTTATTTTACGAGTTAGAGGATGAAATTGACAAATACTGATACCAACATACAAATTAACTTTTCTTTTTCCATAATTAGATTTGATTAATAAAGATTTTGATTAAATGATTAATGATTAAAATATAATAAAAAAAATTAGTAATTAGTCAATGTATTAAATAAATTCGAACAGAAAATCATATTAGCACCAGGGACAATAAAAGAATGTAAAGTAATTGAGATGTTGTCTAATCGTCATGCAGTTGTCTCCCTTACTCTGTACAAATTCAATGTGTAACTAATTTCAATTGTAAAACAATCAAAATTAAAAATATCCAGTTCCATCTCATCTAATACACATGATTCGCTGCCCCCAGTCCCCCAGAAGATCAGGATTGAAAATTAAAAAAATATATTCACCGGATTCCATTTAAATTAATCAAAATATATTATTTTCTCAGAACAAATCAACTTATAAACATTATCATGATTTGTTGTAGCTTTTTTCTAAATATAAGTAATCTAAAATGATGAAATCTTGTCTAAAGATTTTACATTGCCAAATCCTAATTAGATCATTTTTAAGGAATAAGCCCTTTGTTCATTAAAACTAATTCAAGTTTAACACTGTTCCATTTACCAAACTTTATTTTTTAGGAAAAAAGCTTGCTAACCATTTAGGATCTGAGAGAGAGAGAGAGAGAGAGATTACAAGCAAAAAGATTTCAACCAATCACATTGAATGAAAGTTTCATAGAAAATTTCATATAAATCCATGAATTAGTTTCTTTTTAGCTACAGAAAACTGAATGGCCAATATTTAGTTATACCTGAAAGCATCTTTCTGTTTCTTCTTCAGTTGTTGATCCTCATTTTCTATTCTGTTCTTTTGAATTCTACCAGAAACTGAAAAAAGATTGCTATCTAGGAAATGTTTACAAATAACAATCCAAAACTGACTCGAGAAAGCATCTTAGCTTAATATCAATAGTTTAAAGTTTTTTCAGTTTTGCTGTGATTTGTTGCTGAATCTCCACTTTGAACTGATCAGGATTTTTTTTTTTTTTTTTTACAACTCTTCCAGTATTTAATTGGAACCTATTTTGATGCATTTGTTCTGAATCTCTCAAATGTTAGTGTCATCTTTGAAGCATGAGATATATTTTGCTCCTTAAATCTCTGGTCTTGTGTCTATAGACACCAAAGTGTGCAGCAAATGACTTTACAAATCAGTCTCAGCAAGGCAATAAAAGTGAATTTCCAGAATGGGTAAATCATTTAGAAGAAAAAAAAAATGCTACTTTGTCAGTGGAACCACCATGAAAAATATTAGAAAACCATTTTATTGAGAATATATTCTAACTTACTGACAACCTCCCACCCCCATCTTCCTGACCAAAAGTGAAAAAGCAAGCAAACAAAACTTTGATTACAAAGAGTCACAAGCATGAAGAATAATTTATGTAGAACTTACAGGAGGAGTCTTTGTACTAAGGTCCCGATTCAATCTGTCTGTGAATCCATTAAGCAGTGTGTTACCACCAACAACAATTACACCACTGTAGAGACTCTGAAAAACAAAACATCATCTAATTCATAAATCTGAAAAGACTGCTTCTCAGCAGGAATTAACTAAATAGCATAAGTTCAATCAGAAATTAATAAGTCGGATAAAAATATTAAGAGTTTTCATATTTCAAAAATATAAATGAATAATAATAATATTAAAGAAGAACTGAAGAAAATATTTAAAAAAAAAAAAAAAAGTATAAAATTGTCAGAAATAATTTTTAAAAGTTTGTTTCTTTAAGAGGATATCTGTTGACTTTTAGTAGAAGTAATGAAGATAATTCTTGCCAAATGCTATTAAAGCTTAAAACAAATCAAATTTTAAAAAAATATAGTGCTGAGAATCCGAAATCTAAAAGTAAAATGCTCAACAGTTTTAATATTAAAAAACTAAAAAGCAAACTTTCAATAATTCAAAAACTTTTTCCATCAACTTATTTGAGTTTGAATATTTGCATTTAGGCAGAGAGCAAGAAAATGATGAGAAAAGTATCAATACAAGATTTTAATTTAAAAATCTGTTTATTTAAGCTAAAACTAAACAGCAGCTAAAAATTTAAAAGTTATGATCAGTTGTGAGATTCAGATTGATTTTAAATGATTTTGTTTCCTTTGAAGAAAAAGAAAAGGACAAAAAAGGTGATACAAGTTGACAATGTGTCAACAACTGCATAAAATTTTCACATTTTGGTTCCACAAATAATTCAATTCACATCCAAACACACAAGAAAAGAAGTTCAGCACCACAAAGAATTATTTGACTATTTCCTTTTTCAGAATAGAATATTCATAATAAAAGAAAGCAACATTTCAATGTACAAAATCACAAAACTTTCAATAAACTGTTGTTTCAATACTTTTCTAAGGCAGTGTGATCTTATGTATCTGAATGATTAATGACAACTTTTTATTTATTTTTTTCCAATTGGCTATATATATATATATATATATATAAATAACTTTCTGGACATTTTTAGGGAAGCATATGAGGGTCCAGCAGCTCAGTTCTTACAAATGAACAGCCAGGCTACCTGTACATATGATTTGATAATAGTGGTGAAGGCTTATGCAGAACCAACCCCACTTTTTGGAAGAGATGAATACAGAAAACTGGTGCACAGTATGCCACAAGTTCCCCAAACAACCCTCCACAGGTTTTGAATTTAGAGTTGTCCTCTTAGACTGGTTGCCACCCATGGCTATAGTACCCAGTCTGTCCTGTTATTTGCCTGTAGTTGGTGGTGGTGGTGGTGGGGGGGTCGATGGATTCATACCTTTCTCACTGGTATTTGCATGTAAGTGAATATAACAATCTTGACTAAAATTCAAACTCGGTGCTCTGATTCTTCAATCCAACCTGTTATCCATTACTTCACCATGCCTCTGTGTGCGTATGATTTTACTGGCTAAAATTATTGGTATGTTGTTTGCTTTTTTAGTTTATAAAGAATACAATTTTAAATATTATTGCAGTGAGTTTTCCTTTTGGTTGCAGGCTGATATTAAGTGTTAGGTTTATGTAGACACAAGATTAACTTCCTACAAAGTAAATTTAACAACAAAATGAAATGTGCTATATCCAAATTTAATGGCACAAGAAAAGTATATAGAGAGAAATTAAAAGTTTTTATGTATAAATGAAGAATTGTAAGTTGAAATATTAATATGTATTTACTTATTTTCAGAACAATCTAGGTTTGGTGATTTCAATTACACTATAATTAATTGTAATTAAGCCAAATAATCAGTTGCTTCAGATAGATGGAGCTCAACAGTCCATCTCAGGGAAGGAAAACCCTGATTTTAAACCTCCACTGCCTTCCAGTCATATCCAAACAGAAAAGGCTATGGAAGTAAATCCAGACAGAGAAACCCAGAATGGAGCCCCAAAGGTGGTTGACTGTTTAACACTGATAACATTCCAGCAACTTCTGCTGCCAAGCTGTCCCTAAATGTAACGCCCTGTATTCCTTTAGATCTTGTTAGTATGGCCAAAGAGGGGAGCATGTTGTCTGGGCAGGGCACAGTCTTTATATACCATTGCTCAGGCCTGCGCCCTCCAGTCTCACCTCCAAAGGACTTAATTTTGACCAAACAGTATGCTACCTTTATACTGAGTGATAAACAGATGCCAACTTATAATCGATTACGCCATAATGTATGAAATTTTGGCAAGAGTTCAACCGACGAAATATTATTGCAAATTAACCAAAACGTGGTATGAAGAAGATACTTTTGGCCTGAGCAAAACACAACCTAAGAATTAACATAAATAACCAAGTAATAATTTAGAAGTTGCTGAGCTCTGCACAGAGCAGGCTTGCAAGTGTCTTGGATTAATAAGACCCCTTTTCTAAAAGGCAGTCATTTGAAATCTAGCTTAGCATTTACAAATGAACATATTAATAAGCCAAACTTATTCTGAGTAGATGTTTCATTTTTATTTTAAACAGTATTTCTAAATGTGCCCTCCAGCAGTATTCAAATGTGCATGCTCATTTGCAGGAGAAACCATCATCTGATCCAGCATGCTTCAGACCACTTGGCTACAAACAACTTCACAAACAAGCAAGGTTCTATTTGCTTTTAAAACACACTCACTCATTAATTCTTTAGAAATTATATGAGAGAGTAAACTTATAAATCAAAATTAAAGGGAGACTTTTTTTTGTCTGAATTTCTGGGATGAAGAGTTATTTACACTATTTACATGCAGACAATTGTCCTCATCAAGGTATGTTACCTGGATTGACATATACCTAATGAAGGCTGGTATAACAACAACAAAGATGAGGATAAAAGTTTACATGTAAATAATGACAGGTGACTGTCTGAAAATTGTACAAAGCATAAAAGAATCACTATGCAGTGTTGATTTCTATGTCCATACTGTGTATACCTCTACAAACACTATCTCTAATATTGAGTACTCCCCTACCCACCACAATAAATACATAATGTGTGTGTGTGTGTGTGTGTGTGTGTGTGTGTGTGTATAGGCCAGCAAATATGCTATGCATTAAAGATGTGTGATGTTTATGGGTTATGGGACAACCGTTTGTTCAAATCCAGTTCTCTATAGTTAATTCTGTTTAAATAATACTTACAGGTCGAATATCAATGTCACACATGCCTACACTGGTGGTGACAACATGTCCTACACTGAGCATTGTGTTCCCAGGAACATCCTATAAAAATAAAATAGAAATAAGGTTACTGTAGTGGATTGGTAAATAGGGCTGTACCTATTTGCATATGTTAAGTAGAAGAGAAATAAAGTGTATAGTAAAGAAAGGGACAGGCAGTAGTTAACTACTGATCGCATGTCATAAAACAACACAATATAACAATATGGCGTTGCCAATAGGATGTTTAATTCGCTTGGATGAACCAGAATTTGTTGAGACTTGGATCCAGTGTTTTGCAGCTCAGGCTAGGGCTAAAAAAATTGAAAGACAACCAGGCAAGAGAGGGAGAAAATGAAATAACTGACCTCTTTCTAGCTTCATCATTTTGTGAAGCTATAATGAAAATTTCTGTTATGGCATACCCCAAACAATTGAAGAATTTGACTTTCAATGAAATGTCAGAAATTATAAAAAGAAGTTTACAACCTAAAAAGAAACTTGTCATAACGGAAAGAACCATTAAGCAGAAACCAGATGAATCAATTATGTGATGTCTTCACAGATTAAGAGAAGCTAACAGATTTTGCAAATTTGACTATTGTAGATGAATTGATTCAATTATAGTTGATTGAAGATATGGCTGAGACATTTTATGAATATAAGATATTGGAACAATTACAATTGAATAATTTGTCTGCAACTGCATATGTGGAAGTTATATAACAGCTGGAATTGATTAAAAATACAATTCTATTTAGAACAATGGTGAAATGTGCAGTATAAAAAAATAATGCAAGAAATGCAAATACTGTGACTATAAGAATGAAATTGAAAGAAAAAGTGTCCTACTTTTGGAAAAATTTGCCATAACTGCTGAAGAAAAAAATCTTTTTCAGTTTGTATGCAAAATTTAAAAAAAAAATTATAGAAAAAGAGAATTGATGACATTTTTTTAATACAAAGATCTAAGGAAAAGAATTCTTTTGAAAAAATTAAATTAAAACGCATGACTTTTCCAAGTAAATATGGGGAGTGAAGTCACTCTGATCCCAAGAAATTTCTGGGAACAAATGGGTAAACTGAAATTGAGAAAAAAATCATCTGAAATTGAAACAATTTGATGGAACCTTTATAAAAACTTTGGAACACTTCATGGGAACTTTTGAAACCTTTAATGGATTTGAAATTGTTCCCATTAGAGTAGTGAAATGTAAAAAAAAATTTAAAATTACTTATTCACCTTCTACCTTTGGTAGTTGCTAAGTTAAAGAAAATATTCTAAGGTAGGTAATAAAATTAATGGCTTATAATTTTGATACTGAGTATGTAAAAGGAAATATAATACCACATGTTGATGCACTGTTGAGTTTACAATTTAATAAGGATCAAAAAGAAAAAAATGGAAATCCTGGATGAAGAAATATTACATTGGGTTGAAATTAACATTATCTCTACAAAGATTGGCATCAGAAACTCTACAGGATCCAATATTAATCAAGATTGCTGAGAGAATAAGGCAAAACAGGTGGAGTAATTGTTCCAAAGCTGAAAGACCTTATAAAGAAATAAGGCATAAATTAACAATGGAAAACAGTTTTATATGCAATGGAGATGTGATAGTACTACCAGAAACAGTAAGAAAAGATATTTTAAAAAATGATGAACATTGTGGGATAACACCGAGAGGAGATTAAGCTTGGAGGCATGGTGGCCAGGGTATTATCATGATATAGAAAGATGTGTATACAAATACCCAAAGTGTGCAGAAATAAAAAATTTCCAACAAAGGAGAATACACTCATGGCCTAAAAAAACAGAACCATGGTCTCATGTCCATATGGAGCATGCACACATTAATGTCATGGGACTATTTCTAATTTTAGTAGACTCCTTCTCTGGTTGGCTAGAAATCATTAAAATTAAAGATAGAAAAACGAAAAAAATACTTAGAGTGGTATTTTATAGAAATGGGGTCTCTAAAACATTGGTATCAGACAAGGCAGCAGAATTTTATGAAGTTCTATGTAGTTGTTTGAGGTTGATTGGCTGCTTTCCTCATAAAAAACACCACCATATCACCCACAATCTAATGGGATTGCAGAAAGAATGGTGCAAACTGTAAAATGGGATTAAAAGCATTTTCTACAAGTAGAAATATTACAGACAATTACTGCTTATTTATAGGACAATTCCACATGCAGACAGATTGCAAAGCCTATCTGCATTAATGGGAAAACAAATAAGATCTACATTAACAATGTCTTACTCAACAAATGAAAAAGATGTGGTATAAGAAAAACAGGTTAACAAGTTCTGAGAGAGCTAATTTCATCATGTAAAGGTGGCATAACACAGCTATTTTATCAAAGAAAGGAAAAGGCCTAATGGTAATTCTGACTAATTAAAACCCAGAATTGAAGAGGAAGACATTGTGATGGAAGATCTTGACAGAGAAGAAAGGATGAGATCTTGAGATCAGGATAATGCAATAGAAGACAAGCATATGGATAATAATGAGAGTTACTCAGACACAGAAGAAAAAGTGAGACAAAGATCTCCATTAAAAAGAATAGAACATAAACCTCAAGAGAGAGAGGAGGAAAGAGGTTGTAGAAGTTCAAGAACAATCAAAGGTATTAAACTTCTTCAGTTTAGGGAGGTGTAGTGGATTGGTAAATAGGATTGTACCTATTTGCATATGTTAAGAAAAAGACAAATAAAATCTATAATAAAGAAAAAGACAAATAAAATCTATAATAAAGAAAAAGACAAATAAAATCTATAATAAAGAAAAAGACAAATAAAATCTATAATAAAGAAAAAGACAAATAAAATCTATAATAAAGAAAAAGACAAATAAAATCTATAATAAAGAAAAAGACAAATAAAATCTATAATAAAGAAAAAGACAAATAAAATCTATAATAAAGAAAAAGACAGGCAGAAACTGACTACTGATCACGTGTTGTAGAACAACACAATACAACAGTCACTTTTTAATTGTGTAGAGAATCTTGTCATTTTGACACTAATGGCTAATAAAATATTAATTATCAGTTTTGTTTTTCTGAAAAATACTAAAAGCAACAATAAAAATATAAAAAAATCAACTCCATCCATTATTTTCTGTTATAAATAATAAAAAAAAAAGTGGTGGTTAAAATAATGGAGAAATCTCAAAATATTTATTTTTTTGGTCAAATGAGTATTTTTTCTTCACTATTGAAAAACAATTGACAAAAACTAAACCAAAACAAAAAAATTCTAAATTGACAACTTAAAAACAATATTTAATTTTCTAGTAGTCTGTTATTATTTGAAAATATTTGAAACATTGTCTTTTTTTGTAACAACTCTTTCATAAAAACAAAAGAAAAATCTTGCTTCTTCAAAACACTGAAAATTCTCATTGATAACAAGAATTATCTCCCTTATAGCACATCAGCAATTAAAAAATGTGTCCCAACAATCAAAGTGGTACATCTAAATTTTAAAGTAAATAATTATTGCGTCAAGAATGAGACACAATTTAATGCATGCTGCATAATCTGTTAATTGTAAGATAAGGATATTGCGAGTCTGTTGTACTTAAAAATCAAGATTCTTAACTTTATCATATTTTTTCTCACATCTTGACTTGTACTCTCTTTAGTCTTTTAAATTCATCTCCATTTTTATCACCATCAGCCAATACAATTGTTAAGGACTTCAAAAGAAACACTGGTTTCATTTTTAATCATCAGAACAAATTCACTAAAACAATCGCTATCAAATCTAGTACTCATTTTGAATAATAGAAATTTGATTGTCACACTACAAGTATAATTCTTTCAAAGACACACTAAAAAGACTGAATCTGTAATTGAATCCATTGGTCAACCTGAAGAGAAAGTTTAATAAAAGTCAAGCATGAAAGGATTTAGGTTTTTCATCCATTTGGTTATATCACAAAGTTGCAACAACTATAATCTAACTGCTTCAAGGATTTACTGATTCCTTTTATCAACTCTCATCCAATAAACAAAATTTTAGTTTATTTTTACTGTCAGCTCTTTCCTCATTTTTAATGCTTGACAGCAATATAGAAGTTGTGAACAACTATGATGATGATGATAGGATAATAGTTGTATGAGTGTGGTTGCTTGGTCTCCACTTTTCCAATGTTGGGATAATAATTTGGTGGTCTTTTCTTGTGGCTGCTGTTACAAACTGTTCTCATGTCTCTTATCTCTGCTAGCTTCTGTGGAAATTATTAAAGTGCATCCTGTAGACGTATATATGAAACTCAGCCTGTTAACTTGTCACAAATGAAGTATTGGTACAATTCGCACTTTAATTTACATTCTCTAAGAGTCTTCTTTGTTCTGGAAAATAGATAATCAGCTAGCCACTTGACCAACTATTGATAACCTAATTCCTGAAAACTATTCTTCCTCCAAGATCACTAATGATTGTGTCTTTATGCAAACAAAGTAAACAGATTATTGGTCAGTTTTGGCAGTGTTTTTCAGAAAACCCTTGCTACAAAATTATTCTGCTGAAGAAACATCATCAATCTAAGGAATAAGTCTTTTTATGTAACCAAATTAATCTCAAAGGGTTTCAAACTTGGTGAGAATAGCAAGTGGTGTACAAAGTCATCTTCAAGTTAATATTCAGGTTCAATTCTTTAAGAATGCCTCAACTCCTCTAAATGCTCAAAACTTAACTTTTTTAATTAGTTCTTTTTTCTAGATTTAATTCCAAGTCATTAAATGCTATACCATAAAATGAAGCCTTTTGACATTGAATTTTGTTCATCAACTGCTGTCAAGCCTCTTTGGGGCTCTACACACTCTGCACAAGTGAGTCACCAACCATCTTGTCATAGTAAACTGCTTCCTTTATATGAAAAAAAGAGTAAGTTCTTGATTTAATAAGTAAAGAAAAAAAAATATATGCTGAGGATGTAAGTAAGAATGAAATCTTATAATAACTTTTGTTCCAGTTTGTTAGATTTGTTCTGTTATTAGCTACACTTGTATAAACATAAATTAAACAATCATATATACGTATGTATATTCATATAGGAAAAATGTGTGTGTGTATATATATATATATATATATATATATATATATAGAGAGAGAGAGAGAGGGGGCTTGATGTTATCTGCTGAAAGAACATCTTGGAACATATTCTCCACTACTATATTAAAATGTTTAGATTAAATAAGGAAGAAAACATGAAAAATATTAACTAGTTCACTTCATACTGCAATAGTAGCATATTTAAGGAATTTTGCAAATGTATGTGATATTTCCTGCATGAGTAATCTAGAAATTGTATTCATTTACTTAATTCTATTGTTGCATGTAAGAAAGAATTTTAATTCTTAAATCATTGAAAATAGAAATATCCAAGAAAGCTCACAAAATAGAAATTAAAAACAATGTATTAGCAGCCTGATCTCTCCTACTTACTAATGAAATATTCTATGCTTTGTTTATAGGCATCAAGTAATGCTACTTGTTAACATTATCTAATATCTCATTAACAAGGAAACTGATTGCATAACTGATAAATATAGAAAGTAATATTGTGTATGATATAAGATTAGAATTATTCAACTGTCTCTAATTTTAAAAACATTTTAATTTGCTTGTGCATACTCATATATTCAAGTAACATTAATTAACATTAAAATGTATAATAATTTTATATTATATAATAATGTAAAGTATAATGATAAAAAAGATAGAATGATTTACAATCAAATTATAAGAGAGACTTAAAAATTCTCATTTGATTCATACCCAGCAAAACCCGTTTAAAAAAAAAAAAAAAACAACAAGTGACAAGACAATATCATGAAATTTAATTTCATGCACTTTTACAAGACCATTAAAGACATGATAAAGACAATAAAGAGTGAAAGTATGTGACCAAATCTATTTGTTTCTCTTCATACCCATTAAGCTAATCTGTACCATCCTGTCCTGGGAAAAAAAAAAAAAGAAAAGAAATACTCACCTTGATGATACTTGGATCAAACAGTCCTTCACTCACTTTGAATCTCTTATAGCCAAAATCCTGGTTGTAGCCAGTAGGGAATTCATAATGCAAAGAAGGCATAGTCTCTGTTTGGCTATGGGGTAGAAAAAAAAGTTAGAAGTGAATATTTGTTGTAAAGAAAGCAAATTTAGTTGAGCATGCCATTAACCAACAAATAAAATGAAAATCTACAAAAAGGTATTTTACACAAATGCACTTTATTATTTTTAATAATTGCGGAGATTTCAACTTGCCAACTATGATTAATAATTACAAAAACTGTTATATCTCATGCAAGATATAATAAACAAAGTAACCAGAGTGTTGGTTTTCAATAATAGGTTTATAATCGGATGTAGGTGTGTCAAGTACAGAGACAGAGTCGGGAGTATGCTAACCTCAATAGGTGTTAACAAACGAAGACTTGACGACTGTCCGCTGTGGTCGTACTTAATTGGCAACCAGTCCGTCCATTATCGTGAATGGGGAAGTTGAGTTATATCATCACAACACCTCCCCCCAAAGCTGAAATTCTCCCTTTTGAAAATTTCTGCTTCTAATGTCGTCTTCTTTTTGGATCAGGGCTAAAACGCTCGACTGGTTTTCTTTCCCGTGTGCTCCTTCTTTTAGTCATCACAATTAGATCCTTTTTTGGCGAAGATAATTTCCGCTTTTCAGCCCGTAAGGCTGGTCCATGAGATACAGGTTCATATACACTATTGGGTAGTGTCATGTTAAAAGCATCGCATAACACTTCCATTGGAATTTCTTCTTCGCTTTTTTCACTTTCTTCACCATATCGTGGTCTCATCTGATTGATGTGTCTTTTACACGTAAATTTTTTACTTTTAATCATGTAGCCCACTTTACCAATCCTTTTCTGGATTATGCCATCCATCCAATAGTTTTTTCCACTTTTAAAATTTAAAAAAAAAAAAACTTTGTCTCCTGACGTGTATTTTTTTATGTTGACTTTTTCCTCTTTCTTAGCAACTTTTTTTGTTTTGATAGGGTAACAATCAATCGAAAATTGATTTAATTTTCCTTGCGAACATAATTTCTGCCGGTGACATTTTCGCATCGTTGTTCTCATTAGGAGTTACCCTATAGATTGCTAAGAACTTCTGAATAGTTCTTTCTTCCGTGTCCATACCTTTATTTTTTACGTAAAAGCACGTTTAAAAGTGTCAACAAATTTCTCGGCTTGACCGTTCGACCTGGGATGACACACTGGTGTAGTTATGTGTTCAATGTCTAAGGCAGTACAGAAATCCTTAAACTCCATACTTGTGAACGCCGTACCATTGTCGCTAACCAATGTCCTGGGAACCCCCCAAACGACTGAAAATTTCATCCAATGCACTGATGGTGTTCCTAGATGTAGGATGCTTGCACTTGACTACCTCAGGCCATTTCGATAAAGAGTCCACCAATATCAAATAATAGTACCCATTAATTGGTCCAGCATAGTCTATATGTAGACGTGCCCACAGCAAATCCGTTTTCAGCCAAGGATTCATTTTGACCGGAGGTGCCCTTGCAGTCAATTGACAACCTCTACATAGTCTTACAAAACCTTCAATATCCTTGTCCATTCCTGGCCAGTATATGTAACCACGCATGAGTGATTTCATCCGAGACATTCCAGGATGACTGGTATGAAATTCTTTCAGCATATCTGTACGTAGAGATTGAGGTATAACAATTCTATCTGCGTACATCAATGTGTTGTCACAAATTGAAAAAGGTGAAATCTGAGTTCCCTTTTTCTGTCTTTTGTTCCATCTCGTCTGGTTCCTTAATTTCACAATATAGTGATCTTTTTCCGCTTCTTTTTTTATTTGGTCCAAAGTTACCGGCAATTCCCTGATTGTATTCAACAAGAGACATGATATCTCTTTTTCCTCAGTTAATGCTGCTATAACCGTCTCTTCTAAAATTTCTTCATTTTTTGGAATCAGCCTTGACAGTCCATCCGCATGCCCATGTTCTTTAGATTTGACGTATTCCATCCTAAAATGGTAATTAAGCAGGGTTACACCCCATCGCTGTAAGTGATTAGCTGTATGCATAGGAATGCCTTTTTTATCTCCAAATATTGTAAGTAACGGTTTATGGTCCGTTTGAAGTACAAATGATCTACCATGTAAAAAGCGATGGTATTTTTTAACTCTGAACACAATCGACAAAGCCTCTTTCTCAATCTGGCTATAATTTTTTTCAGCCGGAAGAAGAGTCCTTGACGCGTGTGCGATCGGTTTAGTAGTGCAGCACCCACTCCATACAAACTTGCGTCAGTTGCCAGAATGATCTCTTTCTCAGGATCATAATGTGCTAAGGCAAGATCTGAGAGTAGGCATTTTTTATTTTCTGAAAAGCCGTCTACTTAATCTTTTTGACCAAAACCATTTCTTGTCTTTTTTCAACAATTCGTTAAGGAGGGCTCTTAAATCATACATTTTAGGTATGTAGATTGCATAATATTGTGCCAACCCCAGAAATGATTGTAGTTTCGCAACTGTGTCGGGTGCAGGCATGTTCTTAATTGCATCGGCTCTCTGTGGGTCCGGTTTCCTGCCTTCACTGTCTATCACCTGTCAGAGGTATGTAATTCTTTCCATGAAGAATTTACACTTCTCGTGGCTTAATTTAAAGCCAAAATCTTCTAGTCTTTTGAATATCGCTCTGATGTGCGTTTTATGTTCTTGAACATTCTTACTTTTGACTAGAATGTCATCTAAATAGGCGGTACCAAACTCAAGGCCTGCTAGCATAGTGTCCATCACCTGTTGGAACAAAGCTGGGGCAACCTTTAAGCCGAAAGGAAGCCTATTTAGCTTATAAATACCTTTATGTGTATTTATACACAAATATTTTGAGCATTCGTCACTCACTTTAATCTGCAAGTATGCGTCAGACAGGTCGATTTTTGAAAAAAATCTTACCACCATTCAACTTTGAAAAAATAACTTCTGGTGAAGGTAGTGGATAACTGATTTTTAAGACAATCATTTAACCCTGTTGAAAAATCTGCGCACACTCTTATTTTTCCGTTTTTCTTCTTAACATAAACTGTGGGCGAGGCCCAATCTGCATGGTCAACCTTAGATATCACTCCCATTTTTTCAAGCCTTTCCAATTCCTTATTAATTGTGTCTAAGGAGGAAAACGGAACGTTCCTCTTAGGTTTAAAAATTGGTTTCACATTTTCCTTGAGTTCAAATTTGACTTCCGTCTTAGTACATAAACCCAATCCCTCAGAAAAAACTCTGGGATATTCTTCTTTTAATTCATTCATGAATTTTTCATTTTTAATACTTTTTTGTTTTTCTGCACTGTTTATTACATTGCAAAATGAGTTAATCGGGAGTTCAAACAAATCAAAGAGTACTATCTAGTCTACTCCAAACAGACATGAATTAATCCCTTGGATTACATACACTTTCGTTTTTGCAGTCTTGCCACATAACGAAATATTGCACTTTAATTCTCCCTTAAAGTTTAATTTCTTTCCTGAAACCCCTCTAGCGTTTTTTTTTGTTTCAGATAATTTGGGTCTTCCAATATTTTTCCATGTTTGTTCATCAATGATGCTAATGTCTGAACCAGAATCCAATAGGAAAGTAATTGTATGATTATTTATACGTACATCTAGGTACTTTCTATTTTTACCGTTCTGAATTTCTTTTTCTGATAATACCAGGCTTACATCTTGTAATTTCCTTTTCTTATGGCAAACTGAATATTTATGCCCTTTATTTCCATACGATTGACAGAATTTATTTTGTACCAACACACGTCTTTGGTATGATTTTTTATTTCCATACGATTGGCAGAATTTATTTTTGTACCAACCCGTGTTTTTGGTATGGTTATTTTTTCCACACGTCTCACATTTTTCTATCTTTTTGGCTTTTGGAGCTTTTTGAATTTTTATGTGTCAAACATTAGCAACACTTTTTTCCTCAATTTGTGTATTATCCCTTTTTACGTTTATGAGACGTTGGCATTCTTCGGTCACCCTTTGTAATGTTATTTTCGAGTCTTGCTCGACCATTATTAATATTCTTGACCTAATTTCTTTATATTTAGGATCAGTTAGTCCTTGAAGAAAAATTAGGCACTTGAATACATCTTTGGGAATTTCTTCTAACTTGAATTGTTCAACCAGAGAGTTCACTGTTCCCGCGTACACCAGAAAATCCTCGTTATCTGCTTTAACGATGTTTAGGCATCTGTATCGCGTGTGGAACAGACTATTCCTTTCGTCAAATATTTTTGACAGAATACTTATAGTTTCTTCAAACGAAACTTCTTCTGGCTTTCTGGGCAAGTTTGAGTAATTCGTATTCTCGTTTGTCCCTAGTTTCTGGACTAATAATGTTACTCGTTCCTCATCCGACCAATGTTGACATCTCTTGGTAAATATAGTTTTGAAACGTTTAATGTATGCTGGAAATGTAATGCCCGAATCAGGTTCATATATAAATTTGGATAATGAATTTGCTATTCCTTCGGCAGAAAAAACAGCATTTTTTCTTTCTCCAGTCTTCTGTTTCAGAATTTTTTGAGACTTTTTTGCTGTTGCAGTATTTGTTGTTGTAACTCTTGGTGCTGTTGTTGCTGTTGTTGTAACTCTTGATGCTGTTGTTGTTGCAAGCTTGTACACAGCATTTTAGTCATTCGACTAATTTCTCCATCCTGACTTTATTTAGAATTCGACAAAAAAAAAAAAAAAAAAATTTTTTTTTTAGACGATTAACAGACAATTTACAGCCGTAATATTTTTTACAACCCGTAATTTTACTTGAATAATCAATTATTAGACCGGCTTGCATTTGAGTCGCGGTTCAATATATATTTGTCAAATCACAATTTAACAGGAAAAATTTTCTTACTTTTCAAAAAAGTTTCCTTTTGACTTGTGACTCCGCTTTCAAATCCTAATCGGCGTCAACTGATATCTTTGAATTGCGAATCTGCTTTGAAATCCGTTCAGCGTAATCTGATATATATATATATATATATATATATATATATATATATATATATATATATATATTTTTTTTGTACGTTGCACAATCCTCGTCGCCAGCTGTTATATCTCGTGCAAGATATAATAAACAAAAGTAACCAGTGTTGGTTTTCAATAATAGGTTTATAATCAGATGTAGGTGTGTCAAGTACAGAGACAGAGTCGGGAGTATGCTAACCTCAATAGGTGTTAACAAACGAAGACTTGACGACTGTCCGCTGTGGTCGTACTTAATTGGCAACCAGTCCGTCCATTATCGTGAATGGGGAAGTTGGGTTATATCATCACAACAAAAACAAAAAATTGCTTGAATTTGTTTATGAATTTAACCTAATTCAAGTATCTGTCTATATTTCTGAGATGAGGACAATAGTCCAAATAATGTAAATAATGTCTAATTCAAGTAATGTTAATTTTGCACAATAATTATATAATAATGTATAATCTTATGACACAATTTTCTGTTTGGAGTGAAATTGGAATATCTTTTGCTATTATTGAATTAAGGAATACAACTTCACAAAATTCTAATTTCAACTGAGAAATAAATGAAAGATACAGCCACACTACTGTTGTTTCTTAGATAAAAAAAAAAAACATAACATCACTAATAGTTTCAAAAGTCTGAAACAAGAATCTACTAAAAGTAGACATGTCATTTTTCCAGAGTGTAGAACAAAAATTAGTAATTTTCTTACATTTATGGTTTCTAAAAATTAGATTCCCAATAAAAAAAAAAAAAAAAAGTGTTAATGATTATCAAAAGCAAAATTCACAAGTATTTAAATAATCAATGCAAAAAAGACTAGAGTAACATTCCTATAAGACAAATGATTCACCATCCCCTATTAAATGTTATTTTTCTGAAAAAAAAAAAAAAAATCATATTGAAAGAGGGGTGCTGAAAAGTTCAATCTGACCCACTTCCCAAAATTTAAAAAAAAAAAAAAAAAAAAAAAAAATCAAATATTGGGATTTATTTTTGTTTTGAATCTCTTTTTGGTTCAGACTAAGAACTTTTCAGCACCCACTCATAGTTTCCACCTTGTTCATTTTGAGATTGTTTTATGTTATCCAAGAAATGAAGACAGTCTTGTAAGAATGTTACATCTTCAAATACTTTCACTCTGGTTGAAAACTTTCATTCATTTACTCATTCAAATTCACTCATAAAATATTGAAAGGAGTAAAATATTGAACCATTTCTGGTATTTTAAACAAAATCAAAAATTTCTTAATAGGAGGATTTCTGATGGATTAACATTATTGCTTCAAGTACATGATATTTCTATTTTATCAAGACTTACTTTCAAATCAGATCATGAGTCAATATATGAAAATATGTCTTCAATTCTTTTGTAATGATGATATCACTGTACTGATTAATAATGAGAAATTAAATTTCATGTTAACACCACATTTTATTCAACTCTGTATTTTGTTAATCAATGTCAGCTAGTGTGTGGTCCATGGCCTCTCATCCGAAATGTGCATCTTATTTTCTGAGAAATTCTGCCTTTTTTTACTGCTGGGGTAGGTGCTTATATATATATATATATATATATATATATATATATATATATATATATATATCATGCAATTCTTTCTAATACTTGCTTCAAGATGCAGCTGAGCCAATCACGTGTTTGCCTCTCAAGGTCGCCACTGACATCTGGTGAATCATGGATTGCCATCCTTGGCTAGAAGGTCATCTCGGGTCACCCCTACACTTGGATTCATTGATGCTCTGATATGACACAGAGCAAAGTCTATTCTGGCATGATCTCAGGTGAAACATATCCTACACCTTTTTTTAAATTTTTTTTTTATTACACATTTGAACAATCATTAGGTCAATGCTCTGTCACATGATCGACAAAATTTGATGCTAAACAGAAAGATGAAAAAAAAAAACATAAAAAACAAATGTTTCATTGGAAATGTTGAAATTATATTTAATTGCCAAGTTGAATATTTTTAGAACAGCACTCACATAAAATCCTCACTGAATTATATTTTAAGGCTCTTTCAGATGTGTGTATTTGAAGTGTTTCTATACTTGCTTGTTCTCATCAACTTTCTCACTCTCTTTCTCTCTCTCTCTATATATATATATATGAAATTGAATGATCTGAAACTAATTAGAGATAAATCTTACCTTTCTTCATAAGGTGTATCAGAAACTTGCAATACAGTTGCTACAAAATCTTGAAGTACATCCTATAAATAATAAGAAAAATAAATTTCATAAATACTAAGTAAACAAAAGACATTATTATTCGTACTACTTGCTGATAGATTCTAATTGTCTCTGCAAATATTTGCAAAAAAGACTATTGATACTATTAATCAATTTATCTGATATTTTAAAGGAATTCAAACTGTACTCCAACCATTGTGTTATGCCATCATAATATTAATAGTAAATGAAAAGTTTGTTAAATGATACAACAGTGTTAACTACAATTACTGTTTTTGATAGTTAAATAGTAATTACTGCGGAAAATATCTAATTTTAATAGCAACCATATGAAAAATGTAAAAGAGGTTTGCAGAACAGATACAGAAGTCCTATTTTTTTCCACAATAACAGTTCAACTAATGAAGTAATTAGTCATTCAGATGAAATACATCAACAATTTTCAATGTGGACAAAGCATTTATTCCAAGTTGGTTTATATTATGCTCTGGAAGGGCTTAGTTGAAATCAAGATACAGACATTTCAATTTCTTGCCCTTATTAATTTAAGTAAATCATATTTTCTATGTCATCAAAGAGGTGTGACAGAACAGGCGTCCTTAAAAGAAATTAAACTGGAAGAGAAAATTTTAAAATAACAAAACTTGCTATAAAAATGTGATGCTAAAACAAATTTAATCATGTTAGCATCTTCATACCAAATAGAGAGGTTGCTATATTAGGTAAATGAATTTCTTTTTTTAAAACTCAGTTTAAAAATCATCAGTTAAAACAAGAGAAGAATAAAAGAGAACAAAGAATTTCTAATTGAGAATTATTGTTTGACAAGAAAAGAAAAAACAAAAATAAAATGTATGGCATAAAAAAAGAACAAAAATAACACTTTTTTTATGCATTTAGCCAAATTTTAAGGATATTTAAAAAAAAAAAAAACAATCAGAGAGGCATGAAGAGAGAAGGAAAAAAATTATTTTTTCTTAAAAATATGAGAAATATACAAACTTTGACCATATAATTATGGAATGATTTTGTCACTTCCGGAACTTCTTTTTTGATATATTTAGGGGGTTCATTTTCTGGCACAGCCTCCTATTAAAAAGCAAAATAGGTTTTGAAAAAACAAGATACAAATTTCATGTCATAGACATTTTATTTTTAAATTCATTTTTTTACCCAGTAAAATATTAAGTCAAATAAAAATAAAGAACAAATTTTCCATATACAAATCACCATCAACAAATAAATTTCCATGTACAAGAAATAAAATAGCATCTGTTTTGTTCAGAATCATGAGTTCATAAAATTTTATTTTCTCATCTGAATTAATGTAGAGTATTCATAAAATACTTGAAAATAGTTTTATGCTTTTTAAATTCAGTTTGTTATCATAATTGATCTGATCTATGCATAGAAGTATATTGTTCCTAAAACTTCAAGTATAATGTTTCTGTCACTGAGCTAGTGAGAAAGAATACATCAGAACTTTTGAGCTCTTCAATTATTTTTTTTAAGATGGCTGATATGCAAATGATGGATTTGGCTGGTGTAATGAAGAAAGTATGTCATTTGTTGAAAGTAAAAAGCCTTCAAAAAAGGATGATTGCATTTATCAGTCATTAGCATAATGAGCCATACTAAAGTAATTATTAAAAAAAATAAAATAAATTTGTTGCTGAAAGATAAAAGAAAGTAACCAACAACAAATTTCATTTTCTAAATATATTTAGGAACTTTTATGATTAGATGTGAGTATTGATATAAGAATACAAATGAGAGGAGAGAGAAAAATATACACCAAATTTTAAGATTAATTTTAATGCTAAATTTAATGTCCTGTGTATGATTAGTTTAAATGAAATGACATACTGAAAAATGCTTTTTAACACATTGTTATATACTGTACCTATGAACACTAATGGGTATGTCCCAATCCTCATGAATATGTTGGACACTATTGTAAGTGGGGGTAATATGCCGACTAAGTAGTCCACCACTAGCAGTGGTTTACCTACTTCATGTCACTGGCAAATATTGTATTTTGTTGATGTTATAAAGATTACCATTTCATTTCCAACCTCCGTTTTAGTTATTCCTCATTCAGTAACCTTTTCCAGCTGTTATATATAGCTTTTAACCTTTTCTAGCTGTTATATATATAGCTTTTAAACACAAACATTCATTATAGTTAATACAAAATAATTTCATGATTACATTTTAAGAACTGATTTTGCTTGAAAAGTAATTATACCATTACCTCCCTTTAATATGAATTCACTTTAAAAAAATATATCTTTTAGATGTAATTTTTTTTTTTTTTAAAAGTGAATTTTGACTGACAAAAATACTGTTTTTACTGAAAAACAAGTAATGTATAAAACTCGTATCCCTGTCTACCTTCCCATTTAAAACTGATTATTTGCTGAGTGATATGCACATAACCCCTTCCATGGTTTCTGCTATCAACTCTAACCTTGTTCCCCATAAAGCATGTGGACCCGATGGCATCCCCGGCAATAGTCATTAAGAAGTGTGCTCTTGAACTAGCTACTGTTCTCTCTAAACTGTATTATAAATGACTTGCTGCCTCCTGCTTTCCTTAAGAACTCTGATGAACCATCTGACCAATCCAACTATAGGCCTATTAGTCTTCTGCCTCTTTTTGGGAAACTCCTAATCAATGCTGAATTGGTTTGTCATCTCTCTCATCACAGGGCCTTTTCACAGACAAGCAATATGGTTTTCATTTCTCCAGATCAACGGCTGATGTACTAACAATAATTGTGGAAAGACTCTAGCATGCTCTAGATAAAAACAGTAAAGCCTGGGTTGTAGCATAGGACATCTCAAAAGCCTTTGACAGCCTTCTCCACAAGCTGAAAAGCTATGGTATCTCCAGGCACATTTTTGAGCTGATCTAGTTCTTCCTATCAAATTGTGAAATGAAAGTTGTCCTGAACAGTCACTCCTCTAGATCCTTTCATACTAACACAAATGCCCCCCAGGGCTCCATCCTTGGTCTTACACTGTTTTTAACCTTTATTTATGACCTTCCCAATGACATCAGCTTTCAACTTGGCATCTATGTTGACAACACAGCCATTTACTCCTGATAGTAAGGCTGATCAGTCAGACAAGGTCAAAATGGCAGCTGATGTACAAAATGACCTCAAGCCCATTGTCAACTGGGGCAAAAGATGGCATGTGAATTTTAACACCTCCAAAACTAAACTTCTCTCCATTAATCATTTGAGAGACCCTCTCTACCTTCCATCAGCATGGCTGATGCTATCCTCCAAGAAAGGAACTCATTGCACCTTCTTGAGCTAACATGAAGTGGAAAGACTATATTGATTCCATCACTAGGTCAGCTGCGAAGAAAGTCGGTTCATTTTGTCAGGCAAGACAATTTTTTCTCTGGGATCTATCTTGCACATCTCTAAGTCTACCCTTCATCCATGCTTAGAACATTGCTGGCAACCCAGACCATATATAGCATTTTCCTGATACTAGACTGGTGGCAAGATCTCATCAATTAAAGTTAAGCTAGCTTAACAGTTTCTCATCTCACATTTCTCGCTTGTGAATTCCCTTCCAGCTCCATGTTTTCTAGCCAACTTTAATCTGCAAAAATTATCTACAGTCCTTCTGATTGATCTTTTCTCTTTTTCCTCATTACTAATGTTTCTGTTCCTAATTCCTTTACAACCTTTGACCCCTTATGTGCTAGTGGCTGTACTGCCTTGATTGGAGTGATACTTATTCAAAAAAAAAAAAAAAAAAAAAAAAAAAGTAGATTTTTAACAAGTTAAAATATTAATATATTGTCAAATTATTATTATTAAATATTCTTTGCTAACAATACATAACTGAATTAAACAATATTTTCAATTTATTTGGATTGATGGAAAATTACTTCTCAACATCAATAATGAAATAAGCGATACAATGACATGATTACATTTTCTATGGATTGATGTGGTGTAGAAACTGAAATAAATAGTAATCAAATATTTACACTTCAATACAGAATATAGAAAATAAGGATTTTATGATGCAAGTCAATGTTTTCCAAATAAAATTCCTATCAACCAACTGATGATGATTCCCAGGATGTACTTATATGATGAATATGCCATGTCAATATTAGCTAATATCTATTTTAATTAGAAATATTTACAATAACGTATTTAATGGGGCAATATTTTTTAATACAACTTGCAATTTGTTCATTATATTGTATATAATATAATAGTATAGTTATTGACATTTTTTAATTTCAGATATATAAAAATTGCCTAGAATTGTAAGAAAGACATAAAGTCAAAAGAGAAACAAGATATTGTAAAGTTATTGGGTGATGGAAATGTAACATTGTAAATTATCAAAGCTGAACAGTGGTTATAAAACGGTCAAAAGGAATATTAAACATTAACAAGATAAGGACAAGTAAAAAAGAATATGAATTTGAGAAAAAAATTAAAAGGGTAAAAAAAAAAAAAGTAGATAGATTAGCAAAAGAAAATATTTGAAGCTGGAAAGATGAAAACATGCAGAATTAACTAAAGTTATGAAACATCACAAAGAGAAACATGTAATTTGAATGAAGTAGTACATGAAAAGTAAATTCTCAACAGAAATTTTTGCTGATGAAAGTAGAGCTACATTAAACAAATAACTGAGCTATTCAGAGATATAGACAACCAATACTGTTTAGCAGACAACTACAAAAGGTGAAATAATGTTTTGATTAGTATTTTCAGCAGTAAAAGAGGTCCCTTCAAAGTATCAAGTTAAATATAACAAATGTTCTTAGACAAGATATTTTTATCTGATACAAGTTACAACTAAGAAGAGCAAGAAAATATTTTTTTCATTCTGCCAAATTGATTATTGCCCACATTACCAAATAAAAGGTATCAAATTAATGGAATAGCCCTCAATACCATCAGATATTGATCATATAGAAATTTTGCCATCATTAAAAGAGATGTACATGAGAATAGTAAACAATATCCAAGCAAAGAAGATTTTTGGGAAGCAATAAAAATGCTGCAATAATAATATAGTCAAAACAGAAAAGTTAAAATCAATAAAAGAAAGACTGATGAAAGCTATGAAAAGTCAAGGGACCCATATTAACATGTATAGAGGAGAAAGGATGGTCCTCAACACCTGTGGAATAATAAAATGTATAGAGGAGAAAGGATGGTCCTCAACACCTGTGGAATAATAAAATGTATAGAGGAGAAAGGATGGTCCTCAACACCTGTGGAATAATAAAATGTATAGAGGAGAAAGGATGGTCCTCAACACCTGTGGAATAATAAAATGTATAGAGGAGAAAGGATGGTCCTCAACACCTGTGGAATAATAGAATGTATAGAGGAGAAAGGATGGTCCTCAACACCTGTGGAATAATAAAATGTATAGAGGAGAAAGGATGGTCCTCAACACCTGTGGAATAATAAAATAAAATAAAAATGTTAGACAGAGAAAAACACTGTAGAATTAAAGGAATCAGTGTATATGTACTATGAGGGCCTCCTCAGTTGGCCTAGCATAGAAATAAATAACTTAAGGGAGTCATTAATAGAGAGAGAGAGAGAGAGAGAAATTATATTACAGCTTCAGTTACAGCAGCAGTAAAAAAAAAAAAAAAAAAAAAAAAGTAAAAAAAGAGAAGCGGCAATGAAAGCAAGTCAAGCATAACAGCAGCAGCAAGCAGGAAAGAAGAACATTAGGTTTAAGATTCCAAGTTTCAAGTCCAGGATTGCCTCATGGGACCATAGCCATTAAAGTGTTGGTTTGTAAATTTGGTAACAGTAATTGTGAGTTGAATTGCTGGGATTAGACTGTTTGATAACAAGGCAAACAATAACTAAATTAGATGAGATATCCCTAGACATGGACAGTGGAACAAGAACAATCTACCCCCATAGATTAATTAATAAACTAAATTCCCTGAAGTTTACTCAAATTGATAGACACATGAAGAAGGCTGGTGGACATAACAGCTGAAATGTGATAACAAAAAAATGAGGATATTGGTTCAAATGTAAATACTGATAATTCCCCAATCCAGAAATTTAGACAGTAAAAAAAATCTAAAGAAGATATGTTTTCTATTTGAAATTTTCAGACAAAGAATTATCACTTATATGAAGAGGTGCTGAAAAGTTCTCAACCTGATCAAAAAAAGGAACAACTTAATGCCAGGAAATATACATGTTACTCTATATATTCAACTCACAGTTTTATACAAATATATTTCAAGATATATCTCATATATTAAGGTTTAGACATTGACAAAAATATGAAGTCTGATCAAAAACTATCAGAACTGTTGCTATGGTAATGGAGCTAAAGTATACAAAATGAATCTGCTTGGCACCTTGAACTCTGTTACACATGCACACTAATTTAAATGTTCTTGTTCAATTCTGTCGTTTACAGCAGTGCTTGGAAGGAAAATGTGTAGAGTGTAGTTGTCTCACTATATCACAGAGGTTCCATTAGTGACCGTGGCTTGTGAAGCACTTTTTAGCTAGGTACATTCCCCAGGTCTGACAACCACTATATTTCCCAGATATTACCCCTTGCAACTTTTTCCTCTTCAAAAATCAAATCCCACTTGAAAGTAACAAGATTTCAAGATGTCAAAGAAATCCGAAAGTATGTGATGAGGCAGCTGCTCGCTATCCCGAAAAAGGAGTTCCAAGTGTGCTTCCATCAATGGAAATGATGCTGGATAAGGTGTGTAGATTCAGTATGAGATTAAATGCAAAATTGATATGTGCCGTAATTTTCTATTTATACCACTAGTCCCAATACTTTTTGATCAGACCTTGTAACTAAACATTTTATCATTACTAACTTAGGCATAAAAATAGTAGTTGTAAATACAAAAACATGCAACAAAAGAATTTTAAAGGTTATAAAATTTGCAGATCTGACGACTCTTGCGAAAATTGTTGATTTTTTTTTTCCCTTTTTGAGAAGGCATTTTGAAAAAATAGTTGTAATGTAAATACAAGCATCTTGTATGATTGCATACTTACTTTAGACTGTATGAGGTATGGTGGATTAATTTCTATATCTAAATCTTCACATAACTTTTTGCTCTCCATGATAATAAAATCTCCAGCCAGCGGAGACTTGACAATGGCTACAAATAAATGAATAAAATAAAATGAAATTTTTACGTTTCATATAATTTTTAATGAATACAACTTTTCAGGGCAATGAAATGTATCATCATTTTAACATGTGGAAAAAAATGAAAACAATATGAATGACCCTTTCTGTGTAACTCAGGATCATTTTCAGTAAGGATAAATTCCCAAAGAGAACTTGAAAGTTCGTAAACAAAACATTAGTTGAAATTATGAAAATTATCAACACGATTGTCATGAAACTTAAATTAAAAATGACAAGAGAACATCTTTATTCATGTAAATTTCATACAGAAAAATCGGTTATTAAATTTATACAAAAGCACAATTGAAATTTTCATCAACAATAAAAGTCACTGGTACATATCACTCTTGAAATATTAATTATATAATTATTTATACTGAAATTGTTAATTATATTACATTCCATTGGGTTCACAAATAGTGATTTATTTACAATACATAAAAATAAACAAAGCTACAGTTAAAAGCAAAGCCAGAAAGTGTTCCAAGTTTTAAAAGAGAGAATTGTAAGTTAAAAGCAAATCACCATCTAAAAGTGAACATGAACCTCAAATGTATTTTCTCAATCATAAAATTTTTTTTTTAACCTGATGAAGAGAATCCCACTGGAATTTATTGGCTGTTTACGCCTCAAGTAGAAAACTAGAAAATAGTCAATAAACAAAAAAGACTTAATTTCTTGACATGTTTAATGATATCTGCTCAAATAATTTCAAAAAATAAGTTAATTATAATGTATGACTTTATAGATATGAACACATGTCAAAATAAATTTATAATCACAGATATAAAAGCTAAAAATCAAATTCAACTGACAACTAAAAAACAGGTTAATTATAAAAAATTAAATTTAAATATTGTTTCTCATGAAAGAAATAAAGTACCATGGCTTTAGTTTTCCTATTAATGTTAATATTTCATATCCACTTAAAAATTCAGCCATTTTTAAAGGAAAAAAAAAAAAGAACTTCATTTAATATTTTAACAATCCATATGGAAAGGAATTGAAAACTAAATAGTTTTCAATCTCAGAGACAGAAGCTGAAACTGATGAATAAATAAAAAGACTTTAAAATACTTCCAAAAACAGTCTTAAAATTAATTATCATTGCATCAATACTAATTCCAGATTTCGGTTGTGTATCTATTTGTATTAAACAAAAAAGAAAACAATCAATTTCATTTTTTAACAAAGAATAAAACAGCAACTCTCATGAAATATGATTTTGTTCTTGTGTTCGTAGTAGATTTATAACAATTATCAATAACATAAGTGATACTGACTCACCCATGTGCAACTAAGAAATGCTAATGTAAGTGTTGATAAGAAAATTAATATACAATGGGGTGCTGAAAAGTTTTCAGCCCAAAACTATTTCCAAAATCTGACTAAATGATCAGACATTAGAATTTCTTTTGAAATCTCTTATTGGTCAGGCTGACAACTTTAAAATAATGTAAAATATTGTGGCAGCAAATCAGAGCTTTGTAATAAAATGTTAGTTTTGAATGCAAGTTTGTTAAAGTCATTTCGGAAACCATGATTATTGTCAATGTTCTGTAGGGAAGAGAAAGTGCTAATCAGAGATTTGCAAGTACAGTAGAAGAGTTCCTCATTCAGTGGCAACAAATTTTCATGTTTTCCATGCAAGTCTGGCATCATCATAGAATAAGCAAACATTGATGTAAGATTGTAGCTATTTTTTCAGTAATTACATCAGTTGCATTTTATGATTGTATGCAGCACTTTGAGTTAGGGATTTAAACAGTTCCATGTAAAGAATCCCTTGGGTTTACCATCAATAAGAAAGCAAATATAACCCCCATTTTTATGTCAGTCTGGTTTTGGAATAGCAACAACAGAGGCTATTCTTGCCTGTCCAGTTTAATTTGTGGGTTATGTTCGTATACAGGTATTACTTTTAAATCATTTGCACATGTGAGCCATTCATATTTACAATTCAAAGAAATTGAATACATGAACAGAAATCAAAATCATTTTCAGTTCCTGTGTCAGTAAAAGTAGCAGCAGTTTTCTAAGTTGAAAGATTTTGTTTATTATATCTAAATGACTCAGGAGAATGGCGAGATGAAAACAGTAAAATTGGCATGCTATTTCTACACTGGTCAACAGGGAATTGCCTTCCATGACTGCACACAATCCAACCTGGTTACAATAGCAATTCACACCAAGGCTTGCCCAGTGTCCTGAATTTCACATATGCTTTTGGCATTTCACTAACTTTTCTTTAAACTTAATTTTGCATTTTTCACAAATGAGAGATATTGTAAACAAATAAAATTAAAAACTAAAAAAAAACATCTTCACAACTTCAAGTTTTGCAGAAGTAATCCACTCATCAGATTAGATAGTTCGGTTGAATTTATTAAGGATATATATTGTTTAAAAGATGTTACAGATTTAAAAAACAAAACAAAAAAAAAAAACACCTTAAATTTTTATCTCAACTTTAAATTTGTTCTTTTTTAACACTTTGAACCCTGACATCCTGATGAATATGGTATATGCACCTTCACACAGTGTCCAATATACCAGCCGCTTGGTTTCAAAGAGTTAAGGACATTATTGCATGTCTAAATTTAATCAGAAATTGTTTGATTATGAATATTAGATAATTTTTTATAAAATCCAAGTATTTTCATTATGGATAGAAATAAGGATAAAGAAAATCTTAAGTAAATAAATATAGTAAAAGTTTATTGAATACTAGATACAATTAGTTTCTCTAAATACACATTATGGATTATTGCTACATTTATATAATAGTAATATTCAAAATAATAGTTGGTTTGATGTAATTACAATTACAGTTTATATTATTGGACACAAATATATATATATATATATGTCATCCACAGACTATTTCGCTGTATCACAGCGAATTAGTGTGGCTAGATGTCCGGTTGCCTCTAGCTAGGATCGAAACAAGGCTCAGAGATTTTACCCATAAGCAAGGAAGAAGGTGAATTTAAGCGTATTTATTTTTAGATAAACACACAGTGATTGAGAGAACTCGATTCAGTTTACCAAAGAGTCATGCATTATTAGCTGTAATAACCACCGTTTACAAACCCACACAGAGAGCTCAATTGATTCATTTGTATGTATTAATTTATTTTTTTTTTTTTTTAATTATTATATATTTGTTCATTGTATACTATTTAGTCTTTTTTTCATTCAAATTGTTATGGTTAAAGATAGGAATGTGTGTAAATAAATTTTAAAGGGCTCTTACTATTTATAGTTTTTCAGATATGACATATTTATTAAGAATTTTCATTATATTATCACAATATTTAAAATTATTGTTTATTTTATAATTTATTTTCAGTCTAGTTTTATATAAAGTATGTGCATATTAATGTCTCAATTGGCCTAGGAATTTGTTGTTTTTACTTAACAATTTATTTTGATTTTTTAAATTAATTGTTTGTAATATTTTGTAATATTTTTCTGTTGTTCCTATATAATTATTTCTGTATTAATAGTTTCTTACCATATCTTTATACATTATATTATTGATTAAAAATTTGTTTTCAAGAAGGCATTTTGTTTTCTACAATTGCATGAGATAGTATTGTTAATATTTTTAATGATATTACTGCTATTATTATTATTTTTTATATTGTCAATCATTTTTGTTGTTTATTATGTTTCCATGCAACCGTAACTTAATTTAATACTGTTTCTATTAATAATTTTTGATAATTTACTATTTTTAGGAAAATGTTTTGTGATTAACTTGAATATTTTGCCTATTTTTTCCCCTAATATTTCTTATTTCATCATTGTAAGGTGAGTTAAAGCAAATTATATTTTATCTTCTACTGTTTTTGCTTATATTATTATCATATTATATTCCAATTTATTATTATACCTACTTTTTAATTAATATTCTTTATTTTGATTAAATAATTTTGATGTTAGAATTTGTTGAAAGTCTTTAGCTTCCAGATAAATGTATTATTTATTAATGTAAACCTCAACCTCTACAATGGCCTTGGTAGTGACTACATGTTCAAATCAGGTGGTTTTCATTTATGTTGGCCATCACATTCCTGATGTTATGAGGGTGTTGGTTGGTCTTCTTCTCGACAATACCCTTGATGTGGCAGTCTAGAGGATTCACATCAGGAGAGCTAAGAGGCCACATATTAAGGGTGGGCAGTGACAGGATTGTGAAAGTTCTTGGTCAAATATTTTGGGATCATGTGAGCCACATGAGTCCTACTGAAAGATATATGGCCATCTCTTTGATATAGAGCTTGATCACAATATCCAGCACCTCAATGAAAGTGGTAGCATTAATTCTGCAGAAAAAAGTGAAGAGGTATATGGCCCCCATCACTTCGCATCACTGTGGCTATCTTTGTAGGGTCCACATGGGGCCAACTATGATTTTGCCTATCTTTTGGTTTTGGTCAAAGTTTTTCCCTATAAGAGAAGAACCAGACCAGCTAGACTCCTTGGAGTAGTTGAGAGTATTTATCAAGGGCTTTGATTGTACTTCTTGGTCTTTTACATTGTCTGATAATGGACACACTGCCACCTTTTGAGTTGTGTTGATCCAAACTCTAACCCTGTCCTTCCATCTGGCAGTTTCAAATGTTTCTTTTTCTTGGTTACAGATAAAAGACTTCCAGCTTTTGTTTCTAACTTTAAACACAAAAGACCTGACTACTTTTAAGCTAGCTCTCTCTGAGTCACTGTGGTTGTTGACCTTTTCAATTCCAATGTCAGATTGGAATCTGCTATGTTAATGCACTTGATACATCTGAAAGTGAAATGGGAATGTTAAACTTTGGTGCATGCCACCTCACATTGTTTTTCTATTTATGGCCCACTAACAATCTGTCCTAATATACCTGGAACACAGTGTGTGTGTGTGTATATATATATATATATATATATATATATATATATATATATATATATATATATATATATATATATATATATATATATATATAAAAGTGGACTCAGCAGCAACAGTTTGTTTCATGCTTAAATGTAATAATCGTCAGGCCAAATATTAATTGCACAAATGTACAAGGGCAAAATGGGGAAGGGGGACGCTGATCCTCACTTGTCCTTATCGATAACTTAGCTAGCCTCAATCACTGGCCTAATCGTTCATATATTGTATCTTTCACCAAAACATCTCATTCACACAATACTGCCTTACACGGACACCATAATGCCATATTTGCTCTAAGAATCCTTGCCTAATTCCATATGTACAGTCTTTGTGAAGGAGTGGGTTGATATACTCCCCAATGTTCATTACATCATAATATTTACACAACTAAACAGTGTTAGTAAGGGAAACATCCACAATCTAATCATGACAGAGATAACAGTTAACTGGAAAAAAAATACTGTGGGATTATTTAAAATTACTCACCTATGAAATGAAATACATCCCACATTCACCAGAGAACTGCAATCCCTGTCACCTAAATGGGGAGGGGAAGGGGAATAAACTGAAAATAAAAGGTGGGAAAAAACTAAACTGGCCAATGACCATCCATATCCTAGCTAAATTAAATTCAGAGAAAACAACCTACACTAGTTTATTATTCACTAGGATGATAAATGTTTAATCAGGCAGCCAATATCCTCAATCCTAGGTCATCTCCAGGTGCCACTCTAAATTAGCCCTTCTCAAACAAACCAATCATGAAACATTCACCCACCTTTTGCCAAATTTTGTTGAAGGAAGTTGCCTCTTTTCCCCTCTGATTTTGACATTAAGCTAGTGCTTAAAGAACACAATCAGCCGAGAAGAGGAAAACCTCCCATCTCCATAAAATTCCATCATCATCCAAATCTCAACTCTCATGATGCCAAGCAAACACAAAAACACAAAGTTCATTCCTCTTCAGCTGTGGCACAACAAATGGTACTGGCCTCAAGGACAAAAACTTTCCATCCAGGGTGCAAAACATGTAGCCTTCAATCAGTTTGCATAATGGCCATACAATGCTACAGTGAAAGACGCCCTCTAAGGTCTCCAACAACCCACTGCAGTGCACACATTTTGGTGTAATTGCCATCTCCACTGCATAGAACCTTTTGCTAACTCAGAGAGCCTTCTGTAATACCAGCCAGGTAAGTGATGCCTCATCATTATGGAATCTCCTCAACCCAGATACCTAAGGTCACAGAGAGTGACTTCTCATTCATCAAAGATTATCTTGAATGCCTCAAGCACTAACATACAATATAATGCCCTAGGAAACAAAAGCTGGTTGTCAGAGAGGCCTGCATTAACCTGTGTAAAGCCTTTCAGAGTAACTCGAAATTCACAATACGAGGAGCACTTGGCTCAAGGATTACATTGTGCCTCCTGCTGACCACCATGCACATGAAATGATTTCTTAGCATCTTCCTTCCTGAAGAGGCTGTTACTCTCATTTTGCATACATATTCGATCCAGAAACTTGAGTCACAGTGTCTGTTGACAACAGACTTAGGAGCCTTGTTGCCTCACAAGAGGTGAAACAAGACTCAAACTAAGTGGACTACTTCAATACATGGGAGTGGAAGGACCGAGAGCCAGTAAAAATGGATGGGGTAGATGTGTGAGGCACAAACTTCAACCCTCCCCTTTAAGCAAAGCTTCCACTGGGACTACAGCTGAACTGCAATCAATTCTTTTCCAACTGGAGGTTGGAGCCAAATCAGACGCCAAGTATCTTGAGAGGACTGCCCATCCAAATGAAGGGCCTGAGAAGAGAGACTCTCTGTATTCATCAGGCTATGTGCATTGTGTTTTGGCTTAACTTTTTATATATGTTTGATCAGTGATGCATTATGTGTAGGTTGATTGACTTGATGATTGTGTTTAAGAATGAACCAGGCTGTTGGTGCTGGGTGTTGATCTCAATGTCCACTTTTATATTTACATATGCTCTATCCCTGATACTGAACACTTTAATCCATAAATGTAGCATGCATATATATATATATATATATATATATATATATACACACAAACTGATTAAGGTCAACCAACAAGACCCATTAACCTAATTTTCTGGCAAGGGGAGTCACAAGATTCCAGCTAGAGTCATCAGAGGTCATCAAAAAAGTCCCACATGCCATTTAAAGACAAACTAAGCAATTTCTAACAAAACAGAGTTTGCAATGAAATACAAAAATGTTTTTGGACCTCATAAGTAGGAAGGCAGATAAGGTCAAATTTGACCTTAGAGATTATTGAAAGTAGAATAAGTTGGTGGCTTTTATAATTTGTTCAGCAGCCAAGTAATTTTTGGAGGTCAACTGGTATGTGTAGGTGGTGTTGACTTCCAAGGTTAAAAAACCGAGGTCAATCCTGGGATAAAAGAGATAGTTTCAGAAAAGAAGTTTAGAAAAATTAAAAATAAAACTTTTTGTGTAAGCACCTAATAGAAGAACGATTAATGTTGTGTACCCAGAAGTTCTGCCAAGTAAGTTTGTTTTGAGCAAATTGAATATTTTTAGTAAAAACTATTTTTTAATGCATAAATAATGTAAATCATTTTTTTCATTTATGTCAGAAGAAATAAAATCAAGAACATAAATTCTAATGAATTTTAAAAAAACAAAAAAAAAAAAAAAAAAGCATTAAACTTTATTTCCTTTTGCCATAAGTTATTCAATCAGAACATAATGCATTTTGCTACAAGAATCGATCCACTACAATTATCAAAATATATCCCAATTTATATTCTAAGAGAGAGAAAAGAGACAGCATAACACCAAAATCATTACATTTATAGCACATTCTATAAGTAGCTATTAAGTTAAGAGCTAAGATAATAGTTAATTATATGATGAAGTATACTCACACTCCTTATACAATATTTGAGAATAGACCCATTTTTCTTTTTTAAATTTCCATGATGTACTAATTACTATTAAGACCATTTCCTGTTACTTACCTTGGGTGAGCACATAGCCATCATAAACAGGTACAGCAGTAGTATGTGTAGCCCCACTGTCTAAAATCAAACCTGTTGAACGTCCATTAGCAAACCTGTTAACTGTTAAGGAAAATGGGACACTTAACAAGAAGCTGATTAGTCAAGGATTAAAAAAAGAAAAAAAAAATTCATTAACAAATAATTTTCTATTAATAAAAAACGTTCATAGTAATTGTATTAGATAATTAATTCATTTTCATTTCAGTAGAAATATGGATGGCCCACAAATAAAACTGTTTCCGAAAGAGTTTAATTTCTATAAAGTAATTAAAATAAGTAGATTAAATTCAATTAGAAATGCTTTTAGTGACAAAGAGAAAAGGTCAGTTTGGAAAACTTAGACATCAATCAAATTAAACAGTCATAAAAATTTCAACAAGTTCGCTCACTTCTCAAATAAGAAATTGATAACACTCAAAGTTTCACCCAATATTATGAAAATGATTTTCATTTTCTGCTTAGCAGTTAAAAAAAAAAAATTGAGTACAAAATTCAGACTAGGATTTTTGTTCAGCTACATTTTTATTCATTATATTTTATTAGAAAATATATATATATATATATATATATATATATATATATATATTACAACCCCTGTCCCAGAATAGTTGTGACATTTGCATATCTATTTCATACAGTAAATATCACTGATATTCTGGAGACAGAAACAGTAGTATTTCATAATTCTATCGCTGTCTTATGTGACTTATTAATTTAAATTTATTAAGAATACCATTGGCAATTTTAAAAACATTTTAGTGACAATGTTTCAATATCTGACTTCCCAAGAGCTAAATGCATTTCTTAGTTTTGTGTTTTGTGCTCAAATCATGTCTCTTATATTACTGCCAACATTTCAAGTGATATTGTTTTTCTTTGTTGCCACCTTTACTACATTTTTCTTCTCATGATTGTCATAAATTGTTTGTCACATATTTGTTGCCTTGTGTATTCACATGGAACTAATTGTCAAATCCTTAAACCAAAATAAGTCAATGAAGATGATGAAGGGAGAGAGAGAGAGAAAAGTTTCCAAATCAAAATATATCCAGCAAAGAAGGAATTCATTAGTCACAAATAGACAGAAAAATTAACCAGTCAGGCTTTTAAAGTTGTTTAATGATTAGTAAATAATGAAATTCTCACTGGGTACCCTGCATAAAGGGCTTGTATCAGGTTAAGTTTAGTTTATATAAATACTGATAAAATAAGGGTTCAATATTTTGATTTCAGACCAGTGTCCAGATTACAAAAAAACAAAACAAAAACAATGTACTGCACTATCAAATGAACAGGTTTCTTTTTTTTTTTTTTATCTGGATTTACTTTGGATTTCATTGAATTATTGCACAAAAATATATTAATGACCATCTTAATTCAGATACCACAAAATTGACTCTGGAAGGAAATGTCTTTGATTATATTTTCAGATGATTAATTCTGAAAGATGGATTAATATAAAAATACCTTTGTGTTATTCAAAGATTCAACAAAATGTATGCTTAATTAGTGTTCAATATATTAATTGGCTTTTAATTATGCATAATAAACAGCTCTGTCAGTAACATTTCTTATTAACCACTGACAATCCTTTTGAGCGTTGAATCTATTAAAACAAATTTTAGGTAAAAAAAATATGCAAAATACTGCCAGAAATATTTCATTTGTTAGTACAGAAAATGACAGGAGACTGGTGGAGTAGTGGCAAAGTAAATGGACAGTGACTAGAAAAGCCTGAAATCTGCCTATGTAAATTGGAATCAAATATAATCAACACTAAAATATAATCCTAATTAGTGTTTCACCCCCACCCTCCGCCATACACGCAAATAATTCCTGCAGAATTTGCTGTATCTAAGTATAATTATTTAGATGAATTACAAAAACCACTGGTTCAGTATAACAACAATGACTAATACTCTTTATTATGATCAAATGACTAAATAACAAATATTTATTAAAAACTTTTTAAACAGGTTTATAGACTGAAAAAGTATTTTTTAAAACCAATGTTGCAATTTAAAATATTCATAGAAAAGTGAATTTTAACATTTCATAAATAAATATTACATTCAGTCAAAATACTGAGGGAGCAAAAAAACTGCCAACAGCTTATGACTTTCTGTTAATTTATTTTGTTTACATAGATAAATCAATCTTGATGATAGAGCATTTATTTTACACAAATAATTTTCAGCATCTTGTTTGTCAATGCACTTGATCCAACACTTCTCCATTTATCACACTAATTAAATATTATGCATTGAAAAGATTAGCCTAATAACTGTGACACTTCTATAAATGTACAAGTTGGACAGACCAAATATCCAAAATCTAAATAATTGACCAAACATTTCTTTTTTTTTGAAAGACTCACCAGGATGAAATCTTTTCAATAATATTTTTCCAAATTTTTTTAAAAATATATCAATATATTGATAGAAAAATAAATGGATAACCAAAGCAACTTCTATTCATTAATAATAACATGGGGTCATTAAAACAATTCTTTTGTCATGACAAACTAAAAATTTGTTATTTTTTATTCAATTGAAATCTTCATGTTGAAATCAAAGAGTCAAACACTAAATAGTAGAAGACATGTCTTCTACTATTTAGTGTTTGTATTAAAGAAATACAATTGACTTTTTAAACGGATAAAAATGAGGCATTTTATGTTTTAAGAAATCTTTTAAAAATGATAAAAATGAATAAAAATAGGTTTCTCTTTCAACAGATGGAACTATATATATATATATATAAATAAATAAACCTTTCAATCTTTACTACATTGCTCTGATAGAATAAAACAAAAAACTTAAAAAACAAAAAACCTAAATCAATGAAAGTAAAGCTGGCATAGAACTGTGTGATCTGAATGCAACAGTAAGAAGGAAATAAAACTAGAAAGGGATTTATCAACTGAATCAGTTTATTCATTGACAGATAATAAAAAACAACAACCACAACAGTCAACATGTCTTAAGAATTTTCATGGGTTCTTTCAATTCTTACATTTACCAATATTATTTCAGAATAACTGGAAGCTTTACAATTTCACTATCTTAAAATTTTAAATGTAAAAAACATTCAAGAGAAATGTTTTTCAATATAAGACTCTTGAGCTTGCCATCTGAACACATTTTGAAATATTGGTGGTGGGGGAGATCTTCACCGACTTATTCTGTCGAGCTATCTTGGACATTCATGAGTCTATCAGGCCAACCATCACAGTCCTGCATCAAGGTCAGAAGGTCATTAGGGTAGCATTCTGTGAGGAGGCACGGTGGAGTAATGGATAGCGGCTTGGATTGAGGAATCGGAGAGCTGAGTTTGAATTCCAGTCGAATCCATTACATTCACTTACGTGCTAATACCCTTGGGAAAGGTGTGAATCCTCTTCTCCCTCCAGCTATGGGTAAATAGCAGGACAGACTGGGTTCTATAGCCTTGGATGGCAACTGGTCTAGGAGAAGGAAAACTCTGAATTCAAACCTGCTCTTAGAAGAGGGTGAATGGAGTCTCTGAGCCTTGGTTGGCAATCCATTTAGTGATGGTGTCACGATAAAAAAAAAAACATCCTCGATAGCCCTAGCGAAGCATCAAGAATTCAGCTACTTGACAAGATTATGAACTACACCAATCAAAGTATTGGTGAGTTCAATCTCGGCTGAGGCTGCAAGATGATGATGATGACTGTGTCATAACATAGCTGATCAATGTAGGTGGTTGCTGGGTGACCAGATTATCAGGTACCATGGCTAGGTGTGCAGAGCAGTAGATCACTTGCAAGTTTTTGTTTTGCTCAGCAGTATTGTCCAGCAAAGTGCATACTGCTTTTGCACTTGTCTGAAGCAGTCTAATTCTTTATGAATTAACAAATATTTACAAAAGTAGAACAGTAAAAGGAAAATTTTCAAACTTAATTTGTATTCCATGGACTGAATATAATTTAAGTAAAGCTTTATGCTGATATAAGTTTCGTTTAAAATTAGAAGAAAGTAATGGGAGTTAAAAAATAAAGACGTTTTTACAAATTTACATGCAGATGATAACTATTCATAACCTGTGAGTTTTGTATATTTTCATAATTGTTAGATATGTTTTTTTTGCTGCATTGAAATTTATCTTTTCTTGGTGGAATGTTTGCTAATAATTGTCAGCAAATCAACATTTGTATTATAAAATTTAACAGCTAATCATAATTTCTGAGACTAGACCTTAAATGCTAAGACTAATCATAATTTCTAAGACTAGACCTTAAATGCTAAGACTAATCATAATTTCTAAGACTAGACCTTAAATGCTAAGACTAACCATAATTTCTGAGACTAGACCTTAAATGCTAAGAAATTGCATTGAGATTTCAAAAGATCACCAAAATCATCAACCCTTGTAGGTCAGAAATTGTTGACCCTGTCGAGGATAATCTTGCTAATTCTACCAAACTGATTAAAGAGTGCCTTCGACTGGTACAATGGATTAACACCACTGATGTTATCAATTGGTTTAATAATATAAAGGATAAAACTAATTGTTCTTTGATCCAGTTTGTGAATCACTAACCATCCATTTCAAGTGATCTCTTTACATTAGATTTGTAATTCACCATTAAGTACTCTGATCTAATGAGGAACTGGATATTATTATGAACGCTAGAAAATCTGTCCTTATCCACAAAGAACAATGGATAAAAAATAATTCAGGTGACCAATTTGACATTGCCATGGGATCATTAGACTGTTGAATCTTTCAACCTTGTTGATTTATTCATTTTATATAATCTTAGTGCCCAACTGACAAAATCAGAAAATTAATCCATAAGGAGTTTAAAAGTCTAAACCTGAAAGTTGATATCAACAGATGTTTTAAAAAAGTAAACTTCCTTGATGTAACATTAGACTTAGTCAATAATACATACCAACCATACATGAAAACTAATACAAATCCATTATATATTCACCCAAAGACTAATCACATTTTTATCTATAAACAAACACATACTCGCCTCCATAGACTATAGAATTAGTAATAACTCTTTCAGTGAAGATGT